ATGGTGTCCACGAATTTGATAAAGCATAATAAATAAGAAAGGTATAGTAACGGCTGTAATTAAATGGGAATTGAAGAAGACAACTAACACAGATCGACATTCGAAGACGCAAACAATGTCCTCCACCACCACCTCCTTTAATTAACATATATGTCCTATGTAATATGGCATCTATATATGGTTCTAAATAAAGCGGAATATTTACCTATGGAACAATCTGTCACTCAAAAATCAATTAAGTTATATATCTATGTGGACAACAACCTACTTACAGATAAAACCATTTCATGTTATGTTCCTCAAATCAACTTGTATATTCTTAGGCTCCAACATTCATCATCTTCGTCATTCTCTTTTCCTTCGAAATTGTACGTCTCTTAAATTGTATGTCTGATGCAATTAAGGTTACATGTTGTACCCGAGTACCCGAGTTGGACTTCCATTTGAAAGATTGTGAGTTCGAGCCTCAGTGGAGGCGTTATTAGCTCTTTGTGTTTCAGTAGGTTGAGAAAGTATATGAACAGATACTACATTGTAATAGAGCTAGTAGCATTATGGACATACATATTAAGTTCCCTATATTTATAAATAGAAATGGTTATGGACATGCATAGTAATATTGGTTTAAAATCATTGTTTTTTATTTTATTATTTATTTATTTATTTATTTATTTATTTATTATTATTATTATTATTATTATTATTATTATTATTATTATTATTATTATTATTATTATTTTTTGTGTAAAGAAAGAAAAGGCGGTATCCTATTCAGCAAGTTTTGGAGTAATGAGGTGAACCGGAACTTGCGCAAATTATACCGTGGAAACGTGTTCACCATGCTTTGTGAACACGTTTTAAAACGGCGTCGTTTTTACGAAAAAAAAATAGTTAATGTGCTGTTAACGAAATTTTCTGTTATGAGATTATGAATTTACAGTTATGTGATTATGAATTTTTTGTAAATCCATAATTTCATAACAGAAAATTCATAATCTCATAAAAGAAAAACATTTATTAAATTATGAATTTTCAGTTATGAGATTATGAATTTACAGTTATGTAATTATGAATTTTCTGTAAATTCATAATCTCATAACAGAAAATTCATAATCTCATAAAAGAAAATTTATAATTTCATAACTGCACATTCATAATTTATGAGTGTTGAAGAAGCTTACGCGAAGAGGAAACCGCAAAATGTGAAAATAAAGAAAAAAAGTCACACGATTAATTAAGAAAAAAAAAAAAAAAAAAAGATAACGACATCACTTACAAGCACTGTTACCGTTTGAAACCGTGTTCACCAAAACACGGTTCCATGGCATAACGATTGCGGAACTTGCAATTGAGCTTCCACCTTCGATCACATCATTCCCACTTCATCACGGGAACACCATTTGTAGTACACGTGAGCGCCAACATTCGAGCTTCACTGCAACACGTGACCTATTTATTGTCCTATTAACATTCACCTAAATTCTTTGTTCTCGAAAGGTTGAGTCTCGAACCCCAAGGGTCCCACACATCAGTTCGACATAGCATCTGAAAAGATGTAAATAGGAATCCTTTCACTTTGAAATGTTACTCCAACACTGTTGTTGGTGAGACTCAATCTTGAATTATTATTTTTAAACTTCTCCCCTATGACAAACTGAACTGCCATGCGGGGAATATTCACCTAAATTATGAAACAATTAAAATAAATAATAATTTGTTGGTGTTTTGGATGATTGGTCTCCTACAATCCATTCCAAGTATTTTTATTATTGATTATTGGGGTATTAATCAAGGGGATAAATATTATTGGATCCTACATAACATTCTAGACAAGTTAGTTTGATAATCATAAAATTTTAAGTTTGACAATTCGTAATAATTATTTATTAGTCTTTTTTATTTGAGCGAGTCATTTAGGTTGCCAATATAGTGGACCCTACTACAATTATCATCTTCTAGTGATAATGACTTATTTTATATATATATATATATATATATATATATATATATATATATATATATATATCATAATAAGTTTGTTGAATGGAAGCACATGCTTAGGTCTTGACATGTACCTACTCTCAATTATTTGTGACATTTATTTTTAAAAATCAGATAAGGTTTTTGGGACATGCATGCATACTTAAAAAGAAATTAAAGATGCTTAACTTTATAGGAAGCATATATATGGAATGAGTAACACTTGTATGAGATCGTCTCACGAATCGAGTTTTTGACATCATTAATTAAAGATTCGACCCGTTTTATAGATTGAGACACGTGAGACGGTGTCACACAAGTTTTTGTCTTATGGAATTGGGGAAGTGCTATACAATTCCTTTAATCAAATACTCCGTATCTAACAATACCATTCATATAAGTATATGAAATCAAATAATCGCATGTGAAAGTTTAGTTAAGTGGACAAATTAAAGTTACAATTTTTTAGTCATAAATTTTTATTAAGAGTAATCTTAGTTAGGGGTCCCGGGTGGTGTAATATCTTATTAGCAATCATATTGAATTTTAGTGATTATTAATTGTTATGTATATATTTTTAATGACTTATAATAGTTTTTTTTTTTTTTTTTTTTTTGAAGGGATGACTTATAATAGTTTATGTAATCACCACTTAAAGAAATTAAAAAGGATAAACATGTTAATAAGTAGACTCAAATTAAATGTTAGAAAAGGTAAAAGGGGTATTAGAATATAATATAGTTTGGACCTTAAAAACTATGTATGGATGGATGATGACGGATCCCATGATGTCTTCAAAACGTATACTATATATATATATATATATATATATATATATATATATATATATATATATATATATATATATATATTAGCACTGCATTATATTGAGTAACATATGTAGACACATGCACACATATATTAAATATATAATCTTGCCTACCATTTTGTAGATATACACGCATGATCGACCTAGAAATTGGTTCAACGAGAGGTATATGTAATTGGGTAGACCAAATAAATGAAATAATATAAATGTGAATATGAAATAAAAAAAGTTCAAAATTATTAAGTACTGGACTTCTATAGTTCGAAAGATTAAATGTGTTATTTTAATATAGTGTATATAACTTATATAATCCGATGTCAATTTAGGCTGTCAATTTTTATATGAATATTCGATGTGTCTCGGGTGCACACGACTCTAAAAAAATTTACCTCATTTTAAAATTTGATTTGTACCCCTTCTTGTGCAAGAGAGATCATCTATGTTATATATATAAACAAAATTAAATTATAAATAATTAGAAATTTTAAATAGAATCTCACACAAAATGAGATGACATGAGCATTTATATTTATAATTTATTTATGTAGTCCAACACCTCCAGGTTAGGTAAATAACCAACACGTACTCACTAAACTGCTTCAAATTTCGATGGTTAAATTAAATTATTTAAAGAGAAATTTTGCGGCCATATATTATATATATATGGCATTGCATTGTTACAATAATAATTTAATATAAAGTCTTTTTGCAGTATAACTAGACTCCCACCACCTTATCTCTATACCCATTAAATTTAATTTAATTAATCAATTAATTATAAGTAGAAGTTCTCTCTTAATCGAATTGGTACAATTAGTTCCCTAATATTTTAAACTAATCTACTTCTCGTACAACATCATCGATCAGATAACATAAATTTCTCAAAAGGGACCTCCATTCGTTCCCACTCCGTTTACAATAATAATCCTATTTTTTATCTACGTGCATGTACGGAAACCTTCCATCATTATTTATATTGTCAATAATTAAGAATATAAAGAATTTATTTCTCCTTAATGTCTTCGAATTCAAGACTCAAAAAATTTTATATATATAAAAAGTATTAAAAATCTGAACCCTAAGTGGGAGGTGAAAGGTTCGACCTCATTAGAGGCAAGTAGTGTGTATATTGGGTATCCTCTTTTTTATAATAATAAAAAAAAATTACATTTTTGTTCAATTCGGAGAAGCAAATTAGTCAAACTTGTGCAAAGTCAAGAATAGATTTTTGGAATTTTTGATAATGGAGGAAAAAATAAAACGACCCATTGTTAATAATTGAGTAAAAACATTTTCTTTTGTATTTTCCTAGGAATAATAATAATGATATGCATTACAAGTCATATCAAGCAATATTCATACAATCTTGCACGAAATATTTGATAGGAATAGTATTTTGTTTTAAAATAATTAGAATAGAAAGATGATAGATATAGAGGAGTAATTGAGAGCCAGAAGATCAGATTAGGAATTGACCCAGAAGACAAAGATGATCCTTTTCGGAAAGGTGTATTGCTGCAACCTGTAAAAGGAGCCGAAAGAAGAGACAATGAAAATTGGGCGGGGAGGCGTTTTCAGTCAAAAGAATTCAATTTAATTAATGCGCATTTCATCAATTCTGCAAAATGGGTATGGTATAATATAATGCAAACACTCCATGCATGGCGATGGAATAAGGTCTAAATTGGCACTGAACATAAATTGTAATTAGATCACTGAACGAAGAAAAAAAAATGTAATTAAACAATTGAACATCCCAAATATATGCAATTTCACCTGATAACAAGTATCACCCATTTCTTTATTTATTTATTATTTAATGATTCTGATTCTGAAACCAATAGTAAAACTAAACGTCCCTTGAAGTACCTGACTTTTGAGTACTAAAACAAATGCTATTCATGCGCAGAAGTATAAAATTTGGGTTGGGGAGTGACTTTAAGATGAGTGACAAAAGTGTCATCCTGCAATTCTATTCATCCCTCAGTGGATACAATAATTCTCGACAACTTTTAACTAGCATGCGTCCCAACATTCATTCACCATCCTACCTCAACATGCAACTCAATTATATTATTATACCAAACTTCCCAAAATCTGGAAACACAAACTTCACAAAATCTCATTTTGTTCCATCTTAACGATTCAGATTTAGTTTATTGATAAACATTGGCATCTGGCAAAATCAAGATTAGAGTAAGCAATACTGTAAATTGAACATAAATTGACCTGTCCTATATGAGGAGAATCAAGAATTCAACAGAAAAATATTGTAGGCAATACTGCAAAATGGACTGGACTATTTATGCTACAACAATATCAATTATCAAAAACTAATTAAACTCGGTAACAGCTTATGTTGACATTCACCCAGGGTCTTCAATTCTTACAGCTGGGAGAGCATTTGTAATGGATCGATGAAATGAATCAATCCAAACAATACTATCAAAATCTTGGACATGACTGCATTGTCAACAATAGGTCAGGTAATTAGCCATTAAGCAGTAGTTTGCCTACTAATATCAATAAAAACAAATATCCTAGCAAAATAGAGGAAAGAGTAATCAACACGATGGAACTTTACCACAAGGAAAAGCCACCAAATATAACTTTAATCTTCTTCCATAGGAACTTCTGGGATATCAAACCTATCTTCTTCAATCATTTTGTTGATAACAGAAACAGGAGTAGGTAATCTTTTGTCAAGAAAGCCAAAACAAGATTAATTTGAATTAGAGATCACTTAATTAATAAAATAGGAAATGCTAAAAATAAGGTTTAGGCAGGCATAAAGTCTAAAGGAACTATAGACATTTGATCAAAAAGGATATACATCAACATAGGGTCATCCTCCTTTTCCCCACGACTTCGACTGTTATTTAGCTCCCGTAGTATCTCTGGTGTAATCTGGCAATTGAGAAGAGGTGTTACTAAGATATAATAGCACATCCAAACTGAAAAGGTATTGCACCCACAATCAGATGAAGCTGCATACCAGATGATGCCTTTGCCTTTCCACCAGAGTGATTATATTAGATTTATCCTCTTTCCTTAAATCAGCTTTGTATCTGTCACATTTCTTTTCACACATTAGAATATGATAGAGGAAACTGCAACATTATGCAATGCCTGTGAATTTGTGATGGTATAAAAGTGGGTGAAGAGGAAAGGAGAAGAGAAAAGCCAAAAAAGGAACAGAAATGAATGTTCATGAATACGTGAGAATTAGTAAGGAAGATAAGAGGAAGCTTTCAAACCTCCGCACAAAGCAAAGAAGTGATAGGTGCCAGATTACTGGCATAACCCTTGACTCCTCATTGAATTTCATGAAGTGAGCAGCCATAGCATTAAGGACACGATATGGCAAAGCATATTTCTTCTCAATCAGTACCTGAATGAAGTAACTGCAGCAGGATATTGAAATTGTTATATGCATTCAAATAGCATGTTCTTGTAAAAAAAATTGTTTAAGGAAGCATCTTAAGGTGCATAAACAACAAACCATATGCAATTAAGTTGATAAAATCCAGCTATGCCGATGACCAGAGGTAATTATCCAATATGGGATATCATAACACTAGAAAGAATAAAGGTCTAAGTACCTTGTTGTACCACAGTACTCCATTTCAGCAAGCTTCATGAGTGCAACACTGCAAATGTTGAAGTAAAACACCTCACAATAAAAAAAATAGTCGCAAACAACAATGGAGACAAAGAAATGATACTTTGGTGAAAGAAAACGGCCACAGGATGGTACTAGATAATGAATGAGTAGAAGCTTAATTTAAAGATTACAACCACTCACAAAATGGACATATAGGCATTCAAAGCATTCATTTGAATGCTTGATTATAATATGTTCCATACCAAATCAGGAGTTGAATGCCAGCACAGAAAATATCTTCTATGACAGGTAAAGTTCTACCTTCTAACCTAAGAGTGCCTTTTATACAAATGATGAAGTCCATTCCAAAAGCAAATATGAAATTCTTTAAGCTTTTATCAATAGTACTTCAAATAAGAATTAGGGGATGTTTGGTTCATGGAAAATGTTTTCCAAAGGAAAACATTTTCCTTAAAGTAGAGGAAAATGTTGTTTTCTTGTGTTTGGTTCATGGAATTCATTTTCCATTGAAAAATGAATTCTTCAAATTTGAGGAAAACAAAATCCTTGGTTGGACCAAGGATTTTGTTTTCCATGGAAGATGGGAAGAAAAGTTGAGATGGAATGCCTATTTTACCCTTACTTTCTTTTTTAATTATATTACTCTTATTAATTTGTAAGGGCATATAGGTCTTTATACTCATTATTCCTTACAATTCCAAATCTAACCAAACAATAGAATTAGTATTCCCAGTAATTCTTTTTCCACCAACCAAACAATGAAATTCATCTTCCTAGTAATTGTTTTTCCATGGAATTCCAATTCCGCTTCCCTTAAAATATTTTCCGCGAACCAAACGAGCCCTTAGGGTACAACCTTTCCAAAAAAAAAAAAAAAAAAAAAAATAGGGTTCAAGATCACCACAACCAAACTGAAGGTAGGCATACCTAGCATGAAGATGAGGAAAAGACGTCTTTTGAATAATACTCCCAATAATCACAGCCTCCCTTATAGAGCAAGTCCGTGACTGACAAAGCATAAATGCATTTCAATAACATATCAATCAGATAGAGAAATATAAATAAATAAATAAATAAATAATCCATATAACAATTACCAGCAAGCTTGATGCAATAAAAAGACCAAGCCAAATATAATAAACATAGTAGAGAAAAGATAATACTCCATATTACTTTGTCACATAGTCTATAATTAAGCTACCTAAGAAACACACTTCATTAGTTACTTATTATTCTATTCCCAAAAAAGTAAACAATCACCCACATCTGATAAGCAAAAAAGGACTTTGTTTCCAATGTTAATACCTCACACAAAGGTAACAAGATTCCCCTATTAAAGGCAGCTGGTTTATAAAGAGCTTTCTTCAAAGACTGATACAGGGCAAAATGCAGTCTCTTATTATTCTTGATATCGTCTCTGACACGGGGAAGCAAAACAAGCTTGTAAAAGCGTCCTGCCTTCTTGGTATCCATATTGGAAGCAAAAATTCTTGTTGCTTGGTACATAGCATTTGGTGACCATTTAGCCGGTTCAGTCAAATATAAGACTTCTTCCCAATACCGTACTGAAGGTATGTGCTTAAAAGCTTTTGGAATTTTGCCTGAGGTGTATTTGCTAAGAAGTTTACCAACACTGCGCAACATTTACAGATAAGTTTCCAGAATTAGTAACAGTTTCTGCAGACCTACAACACAAATAGCCCAAATAGAAGATAGTTGCATACCCTTTGTACAACTCAATAATGGAGTCATCCAACTTGGGCATTGGTTGCTGTTCTGCATATGCATTTGGAAACCATATCAATTTAATGCAATGGAGGACAGAAACAAATCTGTATTCTACTGGTTGAAAGATTTGTGTTCATGACTCAGGGAATAGGTAAATTTTTATTTCAATATACAGAATGATGTTGTGGCAAAGGTCATCAATTCAAACAGGTAAACAGTGAAAATTCTGAAACAAACCTGTTGAAGCTTGGCCATCCTTTTCTTTTATTTTCTCAACAATGATGTCAGCCAATGTCCTCTGTGGTGTATCATTTGTTGATAAGAAAGCCTCGAGTAGCCTCTCCTCTTCTTCATCAATCTTGTCCTATTTGAGCACCAATGCATTTCAACATCAAATTGGTGAATCATTAAGAAGATTATAATAAACCAGAAAAATCAGTCATATTTTTTTTTTTTATGAATAGGCTGGAATTGAAAAATAAAATTTCTCAGAAGTGGAATCTTTTCTCATCACCTGGAAGAGTTTCCCATGTTTCTCAAGCCATTATGATTACCCATTAATTTTTCCCCAAAAAATTATACCCCTCTAGCATAATGGTCACAACTACCCCGCTAAAATAAAATGCAAAAATTTCTGGCAAAGCATATTGAAGTCCATAAAGGTATAACCCAAAATTCCCACCTAATGCATTGGGAGGGAGATGGGGGGAGCAAATGCTATTATAGACCCCAATATTCTTTTCATCTCCAAAAGGAAGGACTAAGAAGAAGAGCAAACCACTTGTAGTGATAATTTTACATCTTTCAGGAAAGTTATATGTCTGCTAAGGCTTGTATATTGATTATCCTAACTTGGACTCTAAAATGCCAGGGTATATCCTCAAGACAGTTTCGAATTTTACATCCTTTCCTACACATTATTCGTGCTAAATAGTTTTGTATAAGAAAAACATAGAAACTTGAAAGGCACGGACAAACCTCGAAGTCACCATACTGACTCTGAGTTTCAGAAAACCCTACAAAGTTATCAAAATCAGCGTCGTCGTCATCATCCTCCTCGACCGCATCTCTCCGCTCTTCCGTAAAAACTAAACCATTAGGGTTCTGTTCCCGAGCCTCTTCCTCGTCAATTTCCTTTTGCTGAAAGAGAGCCTCCTTAAGTATCTTCGAGCTCATACCAGACGATATAAGCTGCAAAACATATTGAAGTACGGGGAGGGATAGTTAGAAAAAAGGTAGAAACTTCATATGGAATGAAAGCAGAGAGATGAGTCTGAGCGCTCTGCATTGCCTTCTGCTGTTGCTGGTGAGATTTGGGAGCTTTTGATCGTTTGCTTGATGAGGCGACGGAAACAGAATCCGTTCCGGCAAGGAACGGCTCTGGGTTCGTCAACCTAGTTCGCTTCTTCGCCATCGTCGATCAATTTGCCCTGTGCTTGCAAGTCGAAGCCGCCGCTCTTGCAGTCGTTAAAACCCTTACAAAGGAGGAGGGTTCGTATTGTTAGAACCGTTCATGAATTTATATCTTGCCCACATGTTTCTAAATTACAAGTAACACCTCACACTTTAAGCAATTTTGCACTTTTCCACCTAAACTTTAATATAATTCTATAATCTATCCTTTCTCAGTATTTCTCTTTTCTTTTTTCTTTTTTTCTTTTTTTTCTTTTTCATTTTTTAATACTTGGTAATGTAAATGATGTATGAATTTTTCATAAATTCGAAATTCAACAATTCCTCAAAAAGGGTTCAGTGATACAGTTCATCCAAGACATATCAATCACACTTTTCTTAAAATTCATTTGCTTCATTTTAATAATATTGTAGAAGCGGCAAAGAGTTAAATAATATATTTAATAATATATTTGAAAACCTAAGTATACTATTCATTAAACTATAACAAGATGTGAACATTAAAATTTTTATAGAATGTTGTAAATAGTTAGTTGAGAGTAGTATGAGATTGGAGAAAAAAAAAACTTACAAATTTTCAGTATAAACATTCTATCCCATCATAGGTATGTATAGGGATGGCAATTTCAATCCGACCCGTGGATATTCACCCGAATCCACCCCGCATGGATCGGGTTTTTTTGGGTGATGGTGGATGGTGGGTCGGGGGTGGGTCTTAAAAAAGAAAACCCGCGGTGGGTCGGGTTGGATTCGGGTTCTATGTACCAGACCCGCCTAGAACCCCACCCGACCTACCATATGTGTGTGTATATATATATATATATATAATAGTAAAATAAGTACTAGTATGTAGTTATTTATAAAAGTTTATATAACTTCGTGTATCTTTTTACTATTTTTTATATCAAAACTACTAATTTTATTTTAAAAAACTAACAATTTAGTTATTATATTTAAATATTTCAATTATTTATGTTTTAGTATCACTAATGGATTTTATTTTTTTATTATGTGTAAATAATTTAAATATTATTTTTTAAAAAACATAATAAGATGATATGTGGTGGGTACCCGTAGTGGGCACCCGCACCCGGTGGGAGTGGGGGTGGGTTCTGAAAAAATTCACCCGATGCGGATTGGAGGTGGGGTGGGTCGGGTGATGGATGTAGCCCTCCCCGACCCGCACCTGACCCATTGTCATCCCTAGGTATGTATATGAGATCTAGAAATATTAACACCAATGCATTCAAATTTGAAGTTGGCAACAAGCTTTCTAATAATTGAGAATAGTATGAGAGTGGAGAAAAAAGCTCACAATTTGTCTGCATAAAGCATTGTTTCCCAAGCATATATATATATATATATATATATATATATATATATATATATATATATAAACGAGAGATTGTGAAACCCCTTACTTTAATCTTGTGCTACCAATTTTTGGACAAACTTTAAATTTTAATTTATACCATATTTTGCACAAAAGAGAGTCTCTATTCTACAAAATCAAACAATTTTAAAAGTTGAATTATTATTATTACGGAGTATTATCTATAATAGTGCAAACTAATTTACTTTCTCAATAGGATAAAAGGTTACTTAAAAGATTTTTAAAAAAAAAAAAAACAAAAATAAAATTCTTACCCCATTTTTTTTTGGGGTAAAAAAACAAAATTCTCGATGGATCGAAGGAGAGGCAGTCATGATTGTCTCCACCTTCTTTTGAAATTTTTTTTAAAAATATATTTTTTTCTTTTAATTTTTTTTAAAAATTATATATAATTTGACATTATGACATCATATTTAAAAGAGAATTTGGAAGTAACATGTAAAAAATATTATTTGCAAATTTTTGAGTTTTTCTTTTTAATAGTTTGATTGCACATTATTTTTATTCAATGGTTCAATAGCACAATATATAAAAATTCAATGGCCTATTTGACACTTTTTTCATATATTTATTTCCTGTAATAGTTTTACATAAAAAGAATTGTTATTTTTAATGATTGTCATGAATCAGCTGACTCAGTGACTACCATAAGTTAATTTCAAATTGATACTTATATGCCAAAAAAACAAAGACTAATATTAAGATTCAAAATCTCCCAACCCAGACTCCAAAATATATACAAACAAGACATTTATTGCCCATTTTATGAGTAGTATCATCAGTATATCATTACAGAAGCAAAAAAAAACACATGTTCAGTAAACTTAGTTTAAACAGAAATGAGTTCCAGGCTCATGAAAGATGAACATAATACTTGAAGATCAGTCTGTTCCAATGAAGCCACTGTGAATGCGCTTATAACCTCGGGGCAGGAAGGGCGTGGGGAGCATCCCAATCAGTCACAATGTGGTTACGAGTGATCTCTCTCAGTGAACGGCAGCCACTCAACGCCATAGTCAGTTCGAATTCATCGTGCAGCATCTGCAGAACTTTCCGCACTCCTGCTTCTCCTTCTGAAGCCAGCGAGTACACCACCGGTCGCCCAATCTTTAACGATCGCCCACAACTCAGTTAGTGTTCATTCAAGGCATGGAGAAAGAGTGATCATGAATTGGTGGAAAACACTATACTTACAAATATGCCCGAGGCTCCAAGCGCCAGAGCTTTGAAGACGTCAGTTCCACGACGAACGCCTCCATCCAAGAACACAGGAATGCGGCCTTGTGCAGCTTTCACCACCTGGAAAGTGATCAACATTATGTTAAAGTGCACGAGAAAGAGTTATTTGATATTCCCACAAGCATATATGGTACCTCTTCAAGAGCCATGATAGTAGAAGGGACATAGTCAAGTTGGCGAGCTCCATGATTTGATACAATTATACCAGCTGCTCCAACCTGAACTGCTATTCTTGCTGTTGGTACAAAGTTAGAAAATTTTCATCATCACTGGATGCTTTCTTGAATGACAAAAGAGAAATTTATCAAAAGTTTATGTGATTCTATACCATCCTCAGCAGTAAGCACACCCTTCACCAAGATTGGCATTGAAGTGATTGTCTGGAGCCACTGAACATCCTGTCAATAATCTATAAATTATTAAGACAAATCTTCTTTGGTGTTCAAGATTATCAAGAAATGACAGCAACATACAAACATGTAAACAATAAGTGTACTGAAATAAGAACATAAGATGAGATGCTACAAGCTATGCGCCTGCACGTGAAATGTTACAGTTTTGGTATACCTTCCAACTCAAAGTACGATCAATTTGACCAGCGACATAGGAGGCTAATCCAGAATCATCAGCCTAAAACAAGAAAACAAGTTAAAATGTTAACTGAATAAAACTTATAGAATTTTATCAAGTAATGGAAGTATTTTATATCCTCACTCACTTCATCCATCTTGCCCAGGTTCAATCCTTCAAAGTTTTTCAAAGTCAGAAATGGTGGCAGAGTAAACCTGCATTGAAGAGAGGAGATTTAACTCATGCAAATCCATTCTAAAGTTGCCAGCTAAGTTAAGGACAATGGTTCTTAATTCCTCTATAATTACGATGCTCATGGATATTATAATTACACACCTGTTCTTAATATCAGCTTCCCTACGCCCCAACCTTGGGGTGTCAACGGTAAGAGCTATAGCCTTGAATCCTGCCTTTTCAGCTCTTCTAACAAGTTGAGCAACAACATTCCTGTCCTTGTAAACCTGGGCATCAGAGAGAACACATTTATTAGAAACACATATCCAGATTGTCACATTTAAAGGCACTGTAAATGAGTTTCATGCTTACATAAAGCTGGAAAAAGCGGATGCCTGGTCCAGTTGAAGCCACCTCCTCAACACTGGACGTAGCCCAAGATGACAATGTCTGAAACATAGATTTGAAATTCATAAACAAATTGATATAATAGTATATGCTGTTCTAGATTTAGTTAGAATTCATAGTCTTATTGATCAGATTGCTGGGAACCTTATCTGCTAAATTCATCATTTTTTGTACTAAATTACTACAGATACAGATAATGAGGGACTTACCATAATTGTTCCAGCTGCTGATGCAGCTCGTGCAGTAGCATATTCTCCTGCATAGGATCAAATCAGCTCATTAGAATGAAAACTCTAGTAAGTTTGTCCAAACTAAAGATTGGTGTTGTGTTTCAAGTACTATGAACCCGAACAAATGCTAGAGTGTATCAATTAAACTCTAGAGGTGTGAACAGTAAGCTGATTACCGGGTAATAAAGTGAAATGTGTTAGTCAATCAACAAGTGAACTATAACAATCTTAAGGAACAAGTTTACAACTGACAACAATTACCATAAACAGAAATGATATAGGGTTCTCATATAGAAAAACAACAAGTAACTATACTATGGTATTGAAGATTTACATGTACTAGGATAAGTTGAATCTTGGTTAACATCCATGTTTATGTTTAAAGGGTATCCTGGTGTAATTTATTAATTTAACTTATTAGAAGTTAACTTACAACAGACTTGTGAAAGATCAAACTAATACCTTCAGGATGAGCCATTTTCTGGAAGGCTGTTGGTGCAATCATGATAGGCATGGAAATCTTGAAGCCTAGCACTGTGGTGCTCATGTCAATTTTGCTCACATCAATAAGAATACGGGGCCTAAACCTGAATTCGTAACAATAAAGGTTACATAAGATTTAACACATAATAGAAGCCAAAGTCATCCATCAAGATTGCTCATCCAGGAGAATAGGTTTCAGACGGAAGAGCTGCTTACAGAATTCTTGAGAAGGCATTCCTATTTTCAGCCAGAGTCCACTGGTCCTCCGCACCTGATGCATAGTAATCAAACGCCATCTTAGGCAACTTCTTCTTAGCAATAGCTTCATACTCCATCACATTGGTAATCTCCCCCATCTTTGCTCCTTTTATGCTTCCCCTCTAAAAATCTGGATATGCAATAAAAATTAGAAAAGCAGATATGCATGCTGTAGCTATCATGGACAATTTAATAACTTTAGTAAACAAGAAAAGAAAAGCAGATTCTTGATATGCATGAAGATATACTAACTTATATTAGCAACTGATTAAACTAATTGGTCGTATAGAAGTAGGTGTAAAGGAGTATGTTAGAAAGCTTTACAGAGTAAGCCTGAAAGAAGCAAAGAAACCAAAGCACCAAGCACATGTAACATCTCATATTAACCAATAAGTTCAAGAAAGAAATGAGTTAGTATCGATATAGCAGTCTTATGTGCTCATCCAAAATCTCAGAACACAACAAGTTAACACCTTCAGCTAGAGTTATAATCAGGCGAGGCACGCATGGAGAGAGTAAATCATGTTGAAGTGAAAAGAAATACAGAAAAAGAGAGAGAAGGAGAAGAGTGAAAGACCTTGAGCTCCAAAGCTAGAGAAAAGAGTGCATGCAGAGTGAAACCAGTGGAAGAGAGCTAGGTGATAAAGAGAAAGAAGATTGAATTGAACAAGGATAATACTGACAAAGATATGGGAAGAAATGGTTAAATAAGACATAGGAAGAAGACAAAGTATGTGGGGAAGGATGAAGAGAGGGGCACAAATTTTTGGATGAGTTTTTGGAGGTGAGTATTTTAAACCACATCCGATTAGGAGGAACAAATGAGTGGCACACACCATATGCACCTTTTGTGCTTCACACTTTCCCTTCACTATCAATCCCATACTGATTTTCCAAAAACCAGAAATCTGCTAAGAATACATTCAAACACTAGATTATTAATATTAATCATCATTAGCCTTCAGACTTTCTTGCACTATCTATACTGTTACCTGGAAATGCAATAACAGCCATATTCGTTAGAGTACTAACAGCATCTTTAGTTTAAACCTCTGGTATTCAAACAAAATTCCAAAACTAAAGCGTTTACTAATTGTAATAAACGCAGTTGATATAAGAGCCTCTTCCATGCAATTAGGGATTTATAAATCCAAAACATTCACACAAAAACATTTCAACAAAGAATCAAAATGTCCGAAAACAAGAGATGCCATGCACGACAGAGTATGTAAGACACAAAGAATGATCTCTTGACTCCTAGTCATCGTCTTATCGATAAGAAAAGCTCACTTAATTGCCGGAATAAAGTACGGCGTGCTGCTTGCATATGCATTTCCGTATATCGTGTTCTTTTCCAGTACATGACGATGGGGGTAGATCATAGATGCCATGCCAGCATAGCAAATAACCTCAAATTTTTATTTTTATTTTTCATTTAACATTCAGTATCCCATAATCATCTGCTTGCCGATTATCCATATTGCATTCCATATTTGGCCGGCTTGCATTTCCGTCTCAGGAGAATAACTTCAAACAGTTGGCGTGCGCAACGCTCGATTTTGGGTTGGACGTGAAGCATAGCCCGTAACAAATTCCAAATAATTATAAAGCCCAATTGAGTGGTAGATTGGGCCCGCGTGTAGGGCATAGCGCAATTTTTTCGGACCATTGTCTATGGGCAAATTATTATGTGGACCCTTGTAAGTTGGACTCGGGTTCAAGATGCACAATTTATATATTAAATGTTCACAATTTACATATTAAATGTTTACAATTCATGGTACAACTGTTGTAGTCTATGTTGCAACATGGACCATGAAGTATGTATCATTTGAATTGACTTCAGTTTCATTCGACAATATTGTTATGTTTTTTAGTTTCATTTTCCACACGTACTAGTCTCATTATAGCAATACCAACGTATCATTTTTATTCTAATATATAGTTTCATTTGACAATATACATTATTACAAGAACTCTATTTTGTTGTTTCATTTCTCACAAATACTAATTTAATTATAGTAATGTTGAAGTGTTATTTTAATTACACTTCAGGTTCATTGACTTTGAATTTTAATTTCATTTTTCACACATACTAGTTTCATTATAACAATAGTATCGTTTTAATCATATTACACTTTTATTTAACAATAATGTGTTATGTTTGTTAATTTCATTATTCATACACACTAATTTTATTATAATAATATTAAAATATTATTTTAATTGTACTACAATTTTATTCGAAGAACCGTGGTCCATTGTATATATAACAATTGTAGGGCATAGTATGGTGTCGAGCCATTGACCAAAAACCATGGAGTCAGAAGAGGGGACCGAACCGAACCGGGGCAGCAAAGAGGGAAAAGTGATTTGGACAAAAAATAACAAAAATAACGACACGCCTCTTTGGGGGTTGGGTGGGGGCTTTCGCTTTCCTCCTCTACTTCTCTTCTTCACTCCCTCATTTTCCCTCTTTTCTTTTTCTTCCCTTTACAAATCTCGCTCCCTCCCTCGCTCGCTCGCTCGCTCGCTCACACAAACAAAAACCTCACAAATACAAATACAGATATCCGAAATACTGTGATTATAAACCACAATTAAACCTCCGAATCTGCGGTTGAAAGAGGAATACAAGTTTATACGTATAAGGTTTGTGTTGTATAGGAAGCGGAGGGTAGGCTATGAGACTCTGCTGTTGGGGGCTGCAGCGGCCACGGCGGGGCGGTCCATCCAATGAGGCGGCGGCGGCGGAATCAGGTCGTTGATGGCCGTTCTGCAAATGACTTGGCAGCCGAGTCTCCTCAGCCACAAACGGAAATCCAGTCCCCCTGTAGGGCTCAGAAACCTCGGCAACACCTGTTATCTCAATTCCGTCCTCCAGTGCCTCACCTACACCCCTCCTCTCGCAAATTTTTGTCTCAAATCCCTTCATTCCTCCTCCTGTAAGTTCTCCGTCTGTTTCGTTTGTTTCCTATTTTTTGCCCTAAATTTTGCGTCGGGAGTTTGATTTTCGTTTAATTTTCTGCCTCTAGGTGATGCAACCCCGGAGAAGAAGAGCGAGTGTCCCTTCTGTTTATTAGAGAAGCGAATTGCTCGGTCGTTGAGTTTAGATTTGGCTTTAGACAGCCCGTCTAAGATTAATAGCTGTTTGAAGATTTTTGCACAGCATTTTAGGAACGGAAGGCAGGAGGATGCCCATGAGTTTTTGCGGTATGTGATTGACGCCTGTCATAACACATGTTTGCGGTTGAAGAAGTTGCAGCAACAGAGGAAGAAGGTTGGGAATGGGAGTGCTGGTGGTGGGGATGGAAGTGAGAGCACTGTTGTTAAGGAAATTTTTGGAGGTGCTTTGCAGAACCAGGTGAAATGCTTGTCTTGTGGAGCGGAGTCAAATAAGGTAGATGAGATCATGGATATTAGTCTTGATGTTTTGCACAGTAGCTCTCTGAAAGATGCTCTGCAGAAATTCTTTCAGCCAGAGATTTTAGATGGTAATAACAAGTACAAATGTGAGAAGTAAGTACTTAGTCCTTTGTCATTTGTTGGTATCTGTTTTACACATTACTATTTATGTACTCCGTATGTATATACATCTGAAATTTGTTTATACTTGTTTAGATGTAATAAATTGGTGGCAGCACGGAAGCAGATGTCAATACTTCAAGCACCAAATGTTCTCGTGATTCAGCTCAAGGTGGTATACAGCTGGAACAATGCTGTGTTTTTTTTATGTTATTGCATACATGGTACTTTGCTTACTGAATTGTTTCTAATGGACAGAGGTTTGAAGGTATATTTGGTGGAAAGATTGACAAGGCTATTGCTTTTGAGGAAGTTTTAGTGCTTTCAAGCTACATGTGTAAAGCAAGCCAGGTATGTTTTGAAAATATGGCAGATAATCCTGTCTATGATATTATAAGGCTTTATTTATCTAAAGCTTTAATACCCGCTAAACTTGGTTATGTGCATGTGTCTTTGTTTCTAGGATCTCGTGCCTGCATGAATGAAAACAACATGAAATCCTTCAGGGCATTTTATATATATATTTTTTTTATAAAATATTTGCTTTTTTTGATTATGCAGCTTCATGCTTTCTCTGAGTTTAATGATCTTTTAACGTGTTTTCTTTTGCTTTATTGATTACTTATGATATATGCTATATATTATTATTTTATTATTTATTTGAAAATATGAGTTATGTAATTGATGCTACAGGATCCACATCCAGAGTACAAGCTCTTTGGTACCATTGTGCATTCAGGCTTCTCACCAGATTCAGGGCATTATTATGCATACATTAAGGTTGTCCCACTTATTCATATTTTAACCGAACCTTGCACTTTTCTTTTTATTTACTTTGGTCAAGAAACCTAGATCTACTCTGCCTATTTTTTTTAAAAAAATTTGGTTCTGGGGTCTGTAGGATGCAATGGGCCGTTGGTATTGCTGTAATGATTCTTATGTCTCGCATTCAAGCTTGCAAGATGTTCTTTCAGAGAAGGTTTATATCTTGTTCTTCTCTCGTGCTAAACAGAGGCCACCATCTGCCAAGAAATGTTTGCCATCCAATGGATTGAAGAATAATGAGTCCAATGGCACCAGTAAATCTGAAATCCCCAAAGGGCATTTAGCAAAACCTGAAAATATGAAGCAATTTTCAGGTCACCAGTCAGAGATAAATAACTCAGCTTCTTCTAAAGTTGATCAAGTTCCAGGCATCTTTGAAAAAGCGAACATAAAAAAGTTGCGTGCTACAGGAAATATAAAAATTGTTGTTCATCAAAGAGAATCTGGAAATAATAATGGCGTTGAAAGAGGCAAGAAAGAAGCATGGTCAGCACCAGATAGAAATGGTTTTAGCAAAACTAGTGTTAATGGCAAGACAACAAAATCATCTCCCTTAGCCAATGGTAATGGTAAACTCCAGACTGTAACAGCTGATACCTTAGATGGTGGTCTCTGTAAAGAGAATGGTCATAGTAAGAAAGAGACTTCTGACCACAAGGAGTTGCTCAACGGTAACGTGGAATCCTCAACTACTAACTCAAGCTTGAAGAGAAAATCACCGGATTCATGTATTCTGCCATCTGAAGATGTTAACTCTTCGGGGAAAATGGAAGTATTGAAGAAAGAGTAAGTTCTTATCACTGTTGCTTCTAAATGTTAATTTATGTCTAATATGACTTAAGAGTTAAGAAACTTGATCTTCTAGAACTACATATTTTGTTTCATTTGCTGAAATTTGAACTCCTCTACTCATCAATAAAAATGTTTGTTGTATCACAACATTACTGGAAGGAAATAAATAAATAAAGCAGCAGACCTTAACTTTTCCTCTTTGTCTGCTCCTTCCCCATCTTTCTACACACACTCACACATTCTGAGAAACCTTATTGGACAGAAGTAGTTGGGTATTCATTTTCTGGCTAATGCTCACATATTGGTTTGCATTTCCATTGTATTGAGGTTTTCTTTGATGTTTTTGATATTAAACCCCTGACCTTCTATTGTGATATTCAGACTCTTAGGCAGCAGGATGTGACATGTTCTTTGAAATAATTGTTTAACCATTTTCTTAAATACATTTCAGACTGATTAAAGAAGCTTCATCAGTGCTGCGATCATGTGGTTGGACAGATAATGTCTATGCCCTCATGCGATCTAAGAAAAGGTTACGTACACAAGGAGACAGTAATGGAACATCAGATTTTGATGAGGAAAAGTACGTTCTGCTTACCTGTTGTGGTTAAAGTAATTGGTTGGTTTTATTGTACTTGTGTGCACCTGGATTCAAACATTTATCATTATTCCGAGACTATTAATTTTCCCCTCATTGAAGCTTCAATTGATTTGATTTAATTGAGTGACTGCTATTAGATGGTTACTACTATTCTGAATTTTTGTTGAACTACTGCGGAGTATTGATCTTGCTTCAGTTGATACTGGTATGCAAGTTAGCTTCCCACACCAATGTTCTTAGTTTTTAAAGGTAGTCCAGTAATAGTATTAATATGTCAAGTAGATGTATATTAGTTAACTTTCTTGTTGGATATCTGTATGGAAACTTGTAACAACTATTATGGTGAAACAAAATCAAACTCCAAAGAAGTCCTTGTTGCAGGAGTTCTCTTGCTGCGTTAGCAACGTGCAGGAGTTTTCTTGATGTATATGAAAGGAATACATGTCAGTTGGCTTTTAAGTTCTTTAAAAGTTTACTGTCAATGGGACAGAGCATTAGATGCTAGAAAACTTTGGTGTCCATTCAGTATTTTAAGGTCAGATCGGGTTCAAAAAGTTTGCACAAAATCGGATGCTGTTTATCGTTTCCCATGCCATATAGTTTGTCTATGTTTGGCTTGAATGACTTACAAGCTATTAGTCAGTCGTTGCTATTTCTAATATCCTTATTTATTTCTTCATTTCTTGTGACTTTTTTTCAGTTTCTCTGTATATTGTTATGCATATATTAGTTCATTCTAAGTGAGATAATGCATGGGTGTGTTTCTTGTCTGTTACTATTTGAACTGATAAGAGATTTATGTCTTGTTTATTGTGCAGGAGGCTATTAATTGCAGATGCCAAACCAACATTTATTTCACAAATTCCTGAATCATTGAAGAGTAGTCTTATTGGACACCTGAGGTCTTTTCACCAGGAAAACACATAACCAGTTCTTGAGCACTTGGTATGTAGAAGCAAGTGATGGACAAAACTTAGCTAGCCCCTTCTTCAACTTAATTATTCACATTTTCGTGAAACTAATAATATGAAAATGTAATTTGCAGTCTGCGGTCGTTGCTAGTGATGGGATTGTACTACCATTTTATATATAGATGATAATTTTACTGTTGGCGATATCTTTGGCTGACAAATAGCTAGGGAATATCATGCATGTGAGATTCAAAAGGAGGTGGAGGTGGCAGGGGGAGCAGAGGTGAATTTCAATTTGTTTAGCTCTTTTTCTATTAATTACTTTGGTACTGAATGAGTCAAAGATGAGAAGAAATGGCAGAGTTTGTAATGTTCAAAATTTCTGTCTGAGACGATGCGGTATGGTGCTGTGGTGATGGAGGACGGCGCAATTGCAATTCATTCTGTATGATATACTTTTTTGACTATTTTAGTTTAGCATACTGTTTTGGTTGTATGGTTTCCTAACAATTTTCCATATAAATATGGGCGCGGATGTATTGATGGATCTAAAGTTGAGTTCCGTTGCTAGATAGAGGTGATATTGAAATCGTTTAGAAGCAGCAGTACTTGTACCATTCATTTCCCATAAATCATAATTTAGCTGTTTTCTCTGGTGTCGCCGCCTCTATTTTCATTTGCTTCTTATTATATACTCTCCAGAAAGTTTCAATCTGGTGCTGCAGAACCCCATACACCTAATTCTTGACTTCTCCCTTTTGTCTGGTGTTGGATAAGCATCGAAAAGATATTTTAAAGTACTGACAAAGATAACTAAAAAGTAGTTTTCAAAATCAAATAATTGCGGATCAATAGTAAAATAAGTGCTATTCCCTATTCCTTAAATAGTGATTGTGTATCTCGAGCGATTCTTATCTTTTGAGTTTCATTCCTGAGAGAAATGGAAGATGAAGTGGTGGTTTTGGACTACTGGGCAAGTCCATTTGGAGCAAGGGTAAGAATTGCCCTAGCCGAGAAGGGAATTAGCTACACCCACAAATTTGAAAACCTGGCCAACAAATCTCCTCTCCTTGTTGAAATGAACCCAGTGCATAAAAAAATCCCAGTTCTTATCCATGGTGGCAAACCTATTTGTGAATCAGACATCATCATCCAGTATATTGATGAAGTCTGGAAGGGGAATTCTCCCCTGCTGCCCTCAGATCATTACCATAGAGCAAAGGCAAGATTCTTGGTTGACTTCATCAACAACAAGGTCAAGTCACTTCAATAATTATCAACTTGTTTCTTACTATGTATGTATTTGTAAGACTAACAGGAATTTCAAAATTTGGTTCAGATATATGATTCCAGCAAGAAGATTTGGATGGGAACAGCAGAAGATCAAGAGAGTGGGAAGATGGAGCTAATTGAGTGGTCCAAAGTGTTAGAGAAAGAGCTGGGAGACAAGCCTTACTTAGGGGGAGAGGATTTTGGATTTGCAGATATTGCATTTGTACCATTCTACAACTGGTTTATTGTTTTCAAGACATTTGCCAATTTCAACATTGAAGAAGATTGTCCCAAACTGGTAGATTGGGGCAAAAGGTGCATGGGAAGGGACACTGTATCCAAATCTCTTCCAGATCCACACCAAGTCTATGAAGCTTACTTGGAATTTAAGGACAGGCTGGGAAACACAAATTAGATTTTTTTTTTTTTTTGGTTGTAAGCTTAATATTGTGTAAGACACTTTCTCATTAATTTTAAAATAATTACACTCAGAGTTAAATCTGCACAATTTATCCACATTCTATGGATACACAAATACACAATAACAATTATGTCAATTGTAATAAACATTGTAACTACTAGAATAAGTGATTGCAACTATACTGCATCAATTATTCATTAGTAATTTCTAAATTGGATAACTTTATTTTCAATTTAGGTAAATTTATCTATTTTAAGCATTTAAAAAATAAAAAATAAATGTTATTTTACTATATTTACACTTACAAATTTTAACTCTTACTCTACTAGTCTAAATGTATTCAGCCTAGTAAGAGTTTATACACAACTTTTTTAAAAAATAAATTTCATTGGCTTATAAGCTTATTTGATAATTTTTGGAAGAATTTTAGAATTTATAAGCTGCGGCACGGTGTACAGTAGTTCTGACTCTAAGCCTCCACGGTGGCAGAACCTGAAGTTTCTATTGGCTCAACATTGTCACGATATTGCCGTGGATGACATATTCAGCCTCATAGAACTCTCACTCTCCTCCCAATCAGCCCAATAGCTACGCGCGCTCTCCAACAGCCACGTGACATAAACCTCTGCTCATGACGGCACGCGCCTAGTTTCCAACTTCCCCCCTTGCTGGAGAGCTCTGTTCATCCTTGACCGCCTTGTTTGACTACCGCTTTGGGTTAGATTGTGTTTGCCAAACCCAGGGACGGCATAAAGCTGAGATTAGGAATTCTTATTTTTCTGTGTACATATTAATACAGGTGTAGATACAGATCAATGTATGTATAGGCGAAATGGTGGAAGCTGAGGTCGAAGAGAGGAAAGGGAGAGAGAAGAGTAAGAAGAAGAAAGGAAGAAGATGGGGGTGGATGCCGATTGGAGCGGTGGCGGCGGTGGTGATAGCATTAGCAGTAGGGTTTTTTCCTGCACAGAATTTCAAATCTTGTCCCTGTGCTCAGGTTCTTCCTTAATCCCTTAATTCCTTTCATTTCTTTTGGATTATCTAGAGATTACTGATGCAAAGCACTTCTGGTGTTGTGTGTTTAAATATTTGAGCAAATAAAAAGATTATCAGACAATGTTTAAACAATTCCAGACTTAAGTTGGCAAGAAACTTGGATAGTTTTCTAATTGCCTGTGAATTGCCAATTTATGCAATATCATCTATAAAAAAGAAAGAAAGATGCTTAATGGAGTTTGAAATCTATCATGCACGGGAACATTGTACTTTTAGTAGCATTTACATACAAGAAGATTCAAGATTCTATTAATATGTGATTACTTCAATTTGTGAATTGGGATTGACTGATGCTTGATGTTTTGTGACAGGATTCTCGAAAATATACTGGAATTGTTGAGGACTGCTGCTGTGATTATGAAACAGTTGACACTCTTAATGCAGCTGTACTGCATCCTTTACTCCAAGAGCTTGTTACAACTCCATTCTTCCGATACTTTAAGGTGTGATGCAAACCTAAGGACCTCATCTCTAATCACTATAGAAGTGTTTAATCTACATTAATCACCTATTTTAACTTTTACACAGATCACCTTGAGTTCTCTATAGTGTTAGGAGTGGTTAAGGGATTTGGAAATTTTTTATGATAATTTTCATGTGAGCTGAGTTCATGTTTGTGGAAATTATCCTCTCTTTTAACAATTTTCAACTGGAACCTTCCTAGGGGATTTCTGTGAAAGTGTGAACTATTGTGTGCATTAGATAAATTTTGTTAGTGATGAGAATCTGATGCACATTTCATGTCATTCAGGTGAAGTTATGGTGTGACTGCCCTTTTTGGCCAGACGATGGTATGTGTAAGTTGCGTGACTGTAGCGTGTGTGAATGTCCGGAAAATGAATTCCCAGAACCTTTTAAGAGGCCTCTGCTACATGGTCTTGGATCTGATGATCCTATTTGCCAGGAGGGAAAGCCACAGGCTGCAGTTGACCGCACATTAGACTCTAAGGCTTTTAGGGGCTGGATGGAAGTAGATAATCCTTGGACGCATGATGATGAAACTGATAATGGTAATTTTTTTCATGGTACATGTTGGACAATGCTGTTAGTCTATTAATCTCTGGATCTTATATTTGCTGATTGTTTGAAAAACAAAGTAAAAGGCTTAAATTGCGGTGATAAAACTTTCATTTACTTTTGTTTCATACATTTTAATTGTAAATCATGGTGTGATGTCCTGGGAAATTTATTTTGTTATATGGCACATTTAACAACTGAACTGTAATTTGTGTACTTCCAAATGGTTTATTTTGATACCGAAATAGCTTTCTAGATACTGATGAACTTCTTCATGCAGATGAAATGACCTATGTAAATCTCCTACTGAACCCTGAGCGCTACACTGGCTATAGTGGGCCATCAGCCAGAAGGATATGGGATGAAATTTATTCAGAAAACTGCCCAAAATGTGAGTCATAGTTTATGTAACTGGTTCAACTTCCAAAAAAGTATATTTTGATGTTTGCTGATTTCCAGCGATTAATCCTGGTGGAGAAAGGCCGTTCTATAAGTTCTTGTCTGTGAATGCTCAACTTAATTTGCGTTTCATTTAAAATGTAAAAGTTCCTTTAGGCTTACAAGGCTATGCTAGCAGAATGGATAAACTCTCTTAGGGAAGTGACAAAATTAAACTCTGTAGAAGGTATTTGTTGTAAACAAAAAAAAAGTAGAGGAGATAGAAATTAGTTTTACTTGGAAGTGAAAATGTTGTTGAATCTTTCTGATGCTAGTTATTCCTGTTTAATCATATTTTTGGTTCAAGATTATATTTGCCAAATTAATGGTCATGTCTTTCCCGTAATTGTCTGTTTAATGTGAGATTTCCATGTTCTGACAGATGCCTTTGGAGAGATGTGCCAGGAGAAGAAAGTGTTGTACAAATTAATATCTGGTCTTCACTCCTCTATTTCAATACACATAGCCGCTGATTACCTTCTCGATGAAACTAAAAACCTGGTTGGTGTCATTGTTTTATAGATGCACGTTTTTTCTTGGATACTTCTTTTAATGTGTCAACTAAGATGATATCTAGTCTTCTATCTGAGAAAGTAGATAGCTTTGCTCTGGAAATTTAAGAGTTAAACCTGCCCAGACCTAAACTATTTTACTTAATCATCGTGACATAGAGTCTTTGAGTGAGATCCTGACATGTTTGCTGCAACTTTCAGTGGGGTAAAAATCTGGAATTGATGTATGATCGTGTTTTGCAATATCCTGACCGTGTCAGAAACTTGTATTTCACTTTCCTCTTTGTTCTTAGAGCTGTCACAAAAGTAAGTGCTCACTGTTTTGCTTTAATTCACAAACCCTTGAGTACAAGTATAGCATACATATTCAATTATCCATTTACGTACTTCCCTCTTGATATGCCCTGCAGGCAAAAAATTACTTGGAACAGGCTGAATATGACACTGGAAATGTGGAGGCGGATCTGAAAGCGCAGTCCCTTATGCGCCAACTACTTTACAACCCGAAACTTCGAGCTGCATGTCCACTTCCATTTGATGAAGCTAAACTGTGGAAAGGCCAAAGTGGACCTGAGCTGAAGCAGCAGATTCAGAAACAATTCAGGAATATCAGGTTATTGTCTGAGGATTTTGTTAAAATGACAAATATACTCCAGTAAAATTAGATGATCTGTTGATTCTTCTATTTTACCTTTAAATGGAATCAAAGAACTCATCTGATCTCCATTATTTCCTTATAAAATATACTACAATTGATCATATAACTGAAAGATTTACACATTGAATCTGCAAATTGCAGTTCTTTAATGGATTGTGTAGGATGTGAAAAATGCCGTCTTTGGGGAAAGCTTCAAGTTCTCGGTCTTGGAACTGCCTTAAAGATTCTTTTCTCTGTGGATGGTCAGATGAACTCAGAGCCACCTGTGAGTTTCTACAGTTTAATTTTATGAAACAATTTTCTTCTCAAATGCATGTTTGTAATTCCTTCTTCCATGCTTTAGCAGCTGCAGTTGCAAAGAAATGAAGTCATCGCTCTAATGAACCTGCTGAATCGCCTATCAGAATCAATCAATGTTGTGCACACGACGAGCCCATTGGTTGAGAAGACAAAGTGGTGGAGGCTTGTTTCAGATCACCCAACCACAATTATTAGTTCATGGAGAAGAATATGGGAGAGAATAGTAGAAAAGGTGTACGTATTAGCAGAACCGTTCCGTTGAAACGTTGCCATTAAGAACTGTCTATATAAAGAGATCTCTCAGAGTCATATAGAAACATCAGGAAAAGGCTCCATCTTTGTTGATGAGATGATGACTGGAAACTTGTTGTCAGAATGTAAATTTTGCCACATTAATCCTCCTCAAAATGTCTGTAACATTAATTGTACGGTTTATCATGTCTCTGATTACAACTGGCATGAAATGAGAAAATTTTGCTTCCAATATTGTTTGCCTATTTATTATATTAATCCAAGCAATACATTTCATGCAAAATCTATATATACACTCAGTGCCAGCTATATAGACACAGATTGATGGATGGAATGCAGTTTGGTTCAGAGGAATCTTGGAAGTTTCTGCATAAAAGTGTAATTTTGTCTCCATTGTAGAATGATTACCTTCCTCCAAGGTCATACACTCTCACGTCGATGTTGAAAACTACTCATAAATCCTATTGAAATGTAATGCCACACATCTGTTATACATGCCTTATCTGTTAAGGTGATTGTTCGTACGTAATATGATTATATTGCTAAAAATGTCCTTCTCTGAAGCTGATATAGGAAGATGGCATAATACCAGAATATGCCAATGCTTTCATATTATTTACATTACTCCTTAATTAGGTGAAGATAGCTGAGCCTACGGTGGAGCTTCATTTGATTGTCTCTCTTTATGAAATGCAGAGTTTGAAGACATTGACAAAACATAGGGTAGTTTAATCTGGGCCACTGTTTCACGTGAACAACATGCTTACACATGATATATGCCTACAACATGACTAGATTGAAGTGACCACAGTTCAAGTCCAACCTTGCTCACTAAAGACAAGGACAAACCCTGGCCCGATAGGATGGTGCAATAAATTACTATAATTTAATGGCTTTTTAGGTAATGTTTGACACTTCTCGATCTTGCATTCTTATTCACAATTTATGATATGAGTATCGATTGAGTTGTCCGTACGGGCCAGTTCAAGTCCAACCTAGTCTTAAAGAGTGTATTTGGTTAAAACATTTACAGACTTCACAGTAACTAACCCCCTTGCTGAATTGTAGGCACATCTAAAGGTGGGATAGCTGGCATGGAGATTTAAGACTACTCTATACCCAAAGTCAATGATCGATTCCTTTTACGTTTGGTTAAAGATAGATGAATCTCTTCCACTCAATCACACCCCAGGTTATACGTGTTAAGATTATAGTCCAATGTTAGTGAGCTTGAGCCAATAAAATCAAGGTACAAGTCAAGAAAGATGTATTACATACAAGATATGGTTATAAGGTGAAAAACTGTGTAAAACTAGAATTCACTCAAATACACAAATGTCTCCAAATTCAAAACCCCTTATTCTATATACTCTAGTAAAAGATAGAGCTCATCACAGATTCACAGCCTACAAAATTCAGGATGTAAATCAGCCCATCCGAAGACAAAATACTCCATAACAATTTTTTTAAGAAAAAACAAAAAATTTGCAGATTTACAGGGGCATAAATGGTGCAAGTCTTCATAGCTTCAGACACGATCCTCTTCCTCGGTTATGGTGGCCAGCACTATAATTAGCGGACGCTTCACCACCGAGATAAACTTAAGTGGAGCAACTTCTGTTACATACCTTACTGTCAAAATCTTAGCCATTGAGATAGTATTTCTAGTCAGGGACATTAGAAACACGAGAAAAAAGTTGCCAGAAGCTAGCGAGGAAATGAAATCCTTAGAAAGTGTTGTGGTGTGCTGAGAAGAGCAATGACCTGTGAATTTATAGGCATAGATCACAGATGTCCTAGTAGCGTGTTGAGCAGGTCATTTGCCTACGCATTAAACATACGCCGCGTCCTACTTTTTGAATTAATGGCATGAAATAGACAGGACATTCGAGCCATGATATGATAACCCGTACCTCATGCTGCACGGCTTTCATGGAAGGGGACCAGAAATCTTGAAAAGATTTGCTCTTTACCTGGTAGGCTGGTAGTATATGTTGCCCTCCATAGAGAGATTGACCATATTTCACCGCCATTATGCCAGAACTTCTTGTAACTAACATTTTCTTTCTGCAGGTGGCTCTTGCTTCATCTTTTGCAATTGACTTCGAAAAAACACCTGTCATGTTTGATAGTTAAGTAAATGAAAGAGATCAGAGTGAAAAGCGAGCGATAATTAGTCCTAATTCAATGTGTTAGGTTCATAGCTAGTGAGAACTTACAGTTTCTTGGTACGGTGTGGGGGCCATCAAGATGAGGTTGATATCCTCCTTTCTTCATGACCTCAAACTTATCCACAGGAAGGGGACCAGACCCAGAACCAGTTATTATCACTTCCTGGAAATTATTGTTTTTTTTATAGATCTGCAGAAGTGACAATGCTGGCCTTGATTGCACCAGATCTGTAGAGAAGGAAAACTCGGTTCACAAAATGTGATTTTACTGTTCATTTGTGTCCTTTCAGAGTCATTTCTGCAGTCTTTGCAGTAGAGGATTGCCTCTGCCATAGGTCAATTCCTTCTTCCAATCAATTAAAGAATTGGCAATGTGGCATTCCCCTTTTAAACGATCCAGTAAAAAGGAATGATTCCCAAACTGATAGTTGGACTGCACATTTATGTTTATATATTATATGCTCAACATGTCCCCTCACGTGCCTCTTGCATGGGGCTGGCTCTGATACCAAATTGAATAATGTGTTCACTCAAAACTAAAAGTCCAAGCTGATAGTTGGACTGCACATTTATATTTATATATTATATGCTCAACACCAGCATTTGTGGAAGATATGACAACATGCCTCATGCGATCATTTCTTATGAAATTGTGCTTTGTATGGAACATCAAAGGAGATGCCAATGGTTAAGGGCCAACATAGAATCATAAAATGGCTCTCTGCTACTTCAAATGGCCATCAAAAGAGATTGGTATACTTCTCTAGAGATGTTTAATGCATCTGCAGCATACTAAAGACAATGCCACTCTGTAGAAAGCTGCAAGTATTTATGACTTCGGTCCCCTCACTGGCTATACGCCTTGTGTCATAATAGGTGGTCGGTTTCACCCACATCTAATTGATTCACCAGCTCCCTTTCAACTCTCGCTTCTTAATTCAATCCAAGTTTCAATAACCTTCCTCGCATATCTTGTTTTGGTTCTATTAAAGGAATGGCCTCGTTCTTCATGAGGTAAAGCCTATCAGTTGCAATTCTAAAAGGAAATTAAGCAAAAGAAAGAAAGTGGTCTTCGATCTCCTCAGATGAATCATTTTACAGCAGAAGAAAATTTTACCTAGTTTTTTGGTCCCTCCTAAGAAAACCAAGAATGGGGCAACTGGTTTCGTGGTTCTCACTGTCCTGTCCTTTTCATAACTCATAACTTCATGCAACCGATGCCATGTATAAGGTGAAGTTGGCAGTACAAATGAAAAAAGTTAAACGCAGGCAATGACCTATGGAATACGTTATCTATGCTATAAATTCTCAAGTCCTCAGGCTCTTCTCTGTATCCTACTCATTCTTATCTCCTCTCACTCATTTCTTGCCTCTTCTCTTATCAGAATGGCCAAAATCCGGAGAATGAGATTTTCAACAGAAGTTGCTCCCGCAAAATTTCTCTCTCTGGCAAAGCGTCCACAGCTCAAAATGCTGGACACCATCAACGAGGAAGAGGCCTATGTCTCCACCATTTCATCTTCTCTGGACAGATCTTTCGATCAGGAGAAATATCGTGAAGGCTGTCCTGTTGCTTAATAAACAATGGTCTTTCCATTTCGGTCACCATTTCTACAATTCAAAGAAATAAAGTACAGAGCATGTTCTTCCAGCTGCAATGTACTACCAGCCTAGATTACTCTAGTCTAGGTTAATAATAACTATGTTAAGCTTTTTCTTTTACCCCTACTGTTTTCGGGGTCAGTTTTGTATCACAGCCCACATTTTTATTGGCCATGATGAAAGAGTACTTGTGATTTCTCGTTTTCAAGAAATGTATTATTATCATCAAAAAATAATCTTTCTAAGATGATTCAACTGGTAAAAAAGTATACCTGTTTGACCAGACGCGATAGCAGTCAGTAGCCCGAGCACTAAGCACTTTCTGCAATCCTCCAGCCAGTAAATGATGACAATAAAAGAGTTACTATCAATGAGGAAAAAGACAATATAATCAGAAAATTGTGTGCATGAAGATGATCTCGAGAAATTCACAGATCAATATTGAGTCATTCTTAATGTCAGGCTGAAAAATCACTAAGAGAGAAAGAAAAAGAATCTAAAATATATTAGAGCCTTTTCCTCTCTTTGAATACAATTACCACTTGAAGAGGCAAACACTAGTAACATTACAAGACGAGGCATCTGACCTAGAACATATCCTATTCCTTGTGTTTTGGAACTTCTTTTCTCCGTGTCAAGTATAACTGTTACATCTGTTATCATTGGTTTGATCTTGGGCAACATAAATGAATGGTCGAAGTGCTGCTCTTTACAAAATGGAGCTCGAATATACGTATCACTATTTACAATGCAACAGCATACAACTGTGGGCCAACCCTTTGTTCCTCACCTCTTCGGTATCAAATCTTCTAGACAAGCAATCAGCAAAACTAGCCCATATTTGCTCTGAGCACTGCAGATTTGTCGGTAATTGATAGGACTCCTATGCACGGTGAGAGTAATCTTGACGAAATTGCTAAAACTCCCGTATTTGTCTTTAAAGGTCTATCCCCGCTGCTTCGAGTGCTGCAGCCATTGAGGATGATGCTTCCTCGAGTGTTCTTCTCTTTTGCACCAAATTGAAGGCTTCAATAGTATCTCCAACCTCCCAATCATCAAAATCCTCAGCCCCAATTCCACATTCTAGCCCGGCATTCACCTGTTAAAAACAATTGGTTCTTGGGTAATGAACAAGAATAAAATTCTAGAGCATAAGCTTAACATGGAAATCTTTATCTTCAAAAAAGGTACAACTTTAAGTCGCATATACCTCTTTCACAATCTCCTTAACCCGTCTTAAAGATTCAAGGACACCAACATGGACTTCTTTGCCTTTCCTAATAACCCTAATTCCACATTCTTTCACTATTTTCCCCTCCGTTATGATGCACCCAGCAACACGACCGCTACCACTACTGAACACAGCACGCACTTCTGCTGTACCAATTGGAACTTGTTCCTGATGTTGAAAATAAAGAGTTAGGTTTATCTATAGGGTTATGTCTGTTTATGAATATGTGTTAGTTATGGGTAGTTACTTACAGTTATGTGTTTGAATATATATATGTACTATGTTTCTTTGTTAGAAACACAGACAATACTAATAAATTTCAGTCTTATATACATCTATTCTTTGATTCTTCATCATTGCTTCCGCCTAACTGGCGGGTGGTGTTATTCTCCACCCGCCAGGCCATTCTATCTTCCAAATTCAACACAAGATAACCAATTTCATGCCTTTTGAGTATTTCCGAAATTAGTACAAGGAAAGACCGATATAGAAACTCCACTTACCTCAACGGATTCCAAAAGTCCTTCCATAGCATCTCGTACATCATCAATTAGTTCATATATGACTTTGTAGAGACGGATCTCAACACTTTTGTTGTCCGCATAGCTTTTGACAGACCCTGGCGCTTTGACATTAAATCCAAAAATAATGGCTTTACTTGCTACAGCGAGATCAACATCGCTGGTGTTCACATCCCCTGTAGCTTGCAATAGGAACTTCAGAGTTACATTATCCTGAGGGAGAACCTGGAGAGCCTGTCTGACAGCTTCGATGGATCCCTAACCATGCAAGGGGGTTTCGTAAATATCAAGTAACAATAAGCGCCCAATGGGGTCACAAAATTTGAGACAATTGAAGCATGTGCTCCATCTCAACTAAAAGCCTAAGCTGATAGTTGGATTGCACATTAATGGTTATATGCTCAACACGCCCCCTCACGTGTGCGGTGTGGACCGTAGTCACTTATCGGGTGACGTAGAGATTCAAACCCATGACCTTTGGTCTAGCTCTGATACCAAATTGAAGCATGTGCTCCATCTCAACTAAAAGCCTAAGCTGATAGTTGGATTGCACATTAATGGTTATATGCTCAACAGAGACTATAACTTCTTTATGTTGAAAAAGCTATTGACTCGTATAAAAACTATATACTTGTGAATCCAAATTGCAATTTATTTGAATACCTGAACATCAACTTTCAGAATAATATTCAGTTGGTGCAAATCTAGCCCGGTAAGCTTCCCAGATGAAACTGCAGAAGCAAAGGAAGATAGCGTAACCTTCCCATCCCCAGCCTTTGCTGATATGCGTTCATTTCTCAATGACTCCGCTCTTTTCTCTGCCTTTTCACGAGCAATATCAAGGGAGCTAACTACTTCAAACTCATCGCCAGCATATGGAACATTACTCAAGCCAATTACCTGTTGAAGCATGCAACAGATGTTTCGAATTGATGGAATGAACTGGCAATCTTGAAAGTGATATAGTAAAACTTAGCCCATGACATTCCAAAACTCATGTCATTTTTTTTTTTTCAAACAGAGCAAGTTTTTTTTTTGGTTAGACCATAAGGTGTCCTGAGCAGGCCCTAACTGTAGGAGGCACCTTTAAGCCCGTACCATACTCAGACTAATCCCCATTCGCACCGGGCCGGCCCAATTAAGGGGCAAAGTGCTGGCCAGATTAGTTTTTCCATACGAGAGGGGGTTTGAGCTCCCGACCTCTCTTAAGGCTCACGGCCACTCACGCCAACCAAGCTGGTTTCAAACGGAGCAAGTTAAATATGAGAAAAAGTAATAACCACGAACTACTAAATTGGAAGCATCAACCGGGAGCTCATACCTGGACAGGTATGGAAGGTCCAGCTTCAGCAACACGTTTTCCATTGTCATCAAATAAAGCTCGGACCTGAACAAAAGACATGGAAGCTTTTTCAAAAGCAGGCATTAAGATGAAAATGAGCCAAGTAGAATTGATTACCTCTCAGACATTCAGATTAAAAACACAGGAGAAATTAGACAGCATATTTTATCTTAAAGAAAATTCTAACCTTTCCATAAGCTTCACCACAAACTACTATATCTCCTGTTTTTAACGTCCCATTCAGCACAATGAATGTAGCTACAGGTCCTTTAGATTTATCAAGACCAGCTTCAATCACAGTTCCCTTGGCATTTCTGTGAGGATTAGCCTTCAACTCTTGTAGCTACAGTTATAACCAAATCACAGAGTTAAAATATACCAAGGATACAAACAAGAAAAATGAAAGTCGACCAAACAAGTTTAGGAAAATATTCAGAAATCACATTATGGACAATTCAGTACTACAGCAGTCACAATAAAGACAAGAAATAAGCTTGTGTTAATTATAAGGGCACATAAAACCAATCTGGCAGTGGCTGAGGCACATAAAAAGGTGAATCCATATACATTTACTATAGCGGTGGCTGAGGCACATAAAAAGGTGAGCGGTTGGAAGTAGCATCTAATATCCAAGAACTTCAATCTGAGATATGTACAAAATTATTTGAACTTACTTCTGCAACAAGCATGGTAGTTTCCAGCAATTCATCTATATTCTGTCCTTTAAGAGCACTAATCTGTTCATGAATATAAACAAATAACTTAGAATCAATGTAACTACCAAAAAAAAAAAAAAAAAAAAAAAAAAAAAAACCTAAGTAAATTTCCATTTCACCACCTTAACAATAGGGACATCACCACCCCAGTCTTCTGGCATCAAACCAATTGAAGAAAGTTCTTGCATGACTCGGTCTGGATTAGCTCCATCCTTGTCAATCTGAAAAAACACAGAAAAGAAATCATCAATCCTAACAAGAAGCATGAAGAGAAAAATGTGACACTAAGTGCACTTAATCCCAGAAGACCTTATTTATGGCAATCACAATTGAAACTCCAGCTGCTTGGGCATGTGCAATGGCCTCATTTGTCTGAGGTCGAATCCCATCATCCGCAGCTACTACAATGATAGCAATATCAGTGACTCGCGCTCCACGAGCTCTCATTGCTCCAAAGGCCTACAAAATCATTAGATATACTATCCATATTAATAAGCCAATTCTTAGTTGGAAAAGTTATTATTCAGTACTAAACACTAAGTATGTCAGTGCAATAGAGATGTGTGAGAGAGAGAGAGAGAGAGAGAGAGAGAGAGAGAGAGAGAGAGAGAGAGAGAGAGCAACAAGATCAACTTCTGGTTAATGAAATGAATGCTGAAACACAACAAATAATCGGTGTCTTGGTATACCTCATGCCCAGGAGTATCAAGGAAGACACAAGTTCGAGGCTTGCCATCTGTAAGTACTTTCACCTGATATGCACCAATTCCTTGTGTGATTCCACCAGCTTCAGATGCTGCCACCTAAATATCTACCAGTTAGGATTCAGGTTTCAACTACATTTTTTATCACAACCCTTGAAGCTAGAACATAGCATCTCTTGGAATAACAACCACATTATAGAAAATATGATTTCCAAGCAAAATAAAAAAATAAAGAATTATGTATATGACATAAGCTTCAACACATACCTTGCTCTTGCGAATATAATCCAAAAGGGTTGTCTGTAAAGGGAAAAAACAAAAGTTAGCTAGACCCAGCTAAGTAAATGAATTCAAATGTTCACTAATTACAGAAGGTAAAAATCAAACTGAAAGAAATGATCACATCTTTTTTTCTCTTTAAAAAAAAAAAAAAGTATGAACTTTGATTGCTTACCTTTCCATGGTCTACATGGCCCATTATAGTGAGGACTGGCGGTCTATCTTCCAATTTGTCCAAATCATCTTCATCTAAAATCTCCCTCTTTTTTGCCATTTCTTCCACTCTAACCGGATCAGCATCAATAACCTCCACTTCATACTCTTTACATATCATCTTCACCATGTCTTTGCTGAGAGTTTGCACACCATCAGGTTTGATTCCCTTCGTGTAGAAGTAACTAAGAATTTCACCTTCACTAATAGTTAAGTTGTAGGCCAACTCCTCAATTAACATGCCATCTTCATCAACCTCCAGAATTTCAACTTTAACAGGAGCAGCCTCTTTAGCTGCCTGCAATCTTGCTGCCTTACGACTTGCCTTGGTCCATTTTCTACCTTTCCTTGCAGTAATAGAAACATCCAGTTCTGATGCCTCGTCATGGTCATCATCAACTACCATTCGCCTGCGCAGTCCTCCTGATGCACCACTCTTTTTACGGAACTCATCCTTGAACCTAGATGGAGCACTCTTTCCAGGTTTTGAAGGGCTCTTTGCGGGTTTTGGTGGGGCTAAAACTGCTTTAGAAACCAGAGGATCAGCAACTGGTTTCTTAGAAGCAAATTTGTCAACTAATATTGGTTGGCGTTCTTTGGCCTTTGCAGGTGCCCCAGTAGCGGCTGGGGGCTTAGGAGCTGCCCCAACATCCTTCAAGATAACCGCTCTCTTAACTACAGGTGGAGGAGCTACAGGTGGAGGAGGAGGAGGAGCTACAGATGGTCTTGCTTGCAACATGGGTTCAACTTTCTGAGGTGGCTGAGGGGGTCTTAGAGGAGCAGCAGGTTGAGACTCGGTCTTCTCTGTGCTGCTTGTTTTTAGTTCTTGTTTTGGAGGTTGCTTTACAGCATTTTGTACTGTAGGTACCGGATTCCCTTTCCTCCAGACACTCTTCGACGTACTAGAATTTTGCTGGGGAATAGCCATTGAATTAATCGGTTTGCCATTTTTTGCTTCAACGTTTGCACTGGCCAGTGGTTTCTTAATAGCGGCATTCATTCTCTTCTTTGTCTCTAGCTTCTCCACCTTCTCCAGTGCCTCTCCTAGCGACTCGATTACTTTGCTTTTGTCTTCTCCATCACTACTGCTCTCATCATCAGAATCCGGGCTACGTTTTGCTCCATTCCAATCTGCTGAACTCGAGCCTGATAGGACCGATTTTGGCCCTGACTTCAATTGAGGTTTGGGAGCCGGTTTGAGTAAAAGATCAGCATTAGCATTAGCATTAGCATCATCCCCACTACTTCTAGGCGATGAATCCAATGATATCGAAGTTCCTTGATCAGCAATAAAATCAGCAGTGACCGAGAACCTACAAACAGACACGTATGGCCATCTCTTCCCAACCCAAATTCTGCGAAAGCTCCTAAAATTCTTGGCAAAGGAAATGCTCCCCACCAAACCAGACGACCCTTCAAACTGCCCTGAAGAACAGCTGCAAACGCTTCCCAAATTCACCAGGGAAGTCATGCTAGCCATTGCTCTCTGTGCAGATTATCTCAACACTATCATAGACTTCCCACTACAAAACCAACCTCCAATTCTCCAACCCAACAAATTTAACTCCCTCCTCTCTACTCTTAACAATTCAAGAATCACCTGGCATTCAATTTAATGTCTCAAATTCTTGAACTCACACGAAAAATATGAACTTTTTAAAGAATCGAATATAACTTCATTCAAGACACAGTCAGTAAATGGAAAAGTTTTTACCTTTAAGAGTCTCAGACATTTGCTCAAGAATGGTCTATCCTTCAATGGGTGTTTCTGGTTGCTGATGATAGGGAAATGATCGTTAAAGAAGCATGTGGTTGAGAGGGCAGTGAAGCCAAGTGGATGATGGACAGACATATGAGAGATAAGGCTTTTGGGTAAGGTTCTTTTTTTCAAATGTTTTTTTTTTTCCAACTTCGTGTTTTTTTGTGCTATACATTTATCCCCGTAGCACACCATTAGCCCATAGAAGGGAACAATCTCTGGGCGTGTTTGGTTCAAATGGTAGGTGTCAAAATCAGAAATAAAATTGTACAAGTAATTAAATGTGTTCTAATAAAAGTAATGTTTTTTTATTTGATAATAAACAAAAAGTGGGGTTAAAATAATATGGGGTTGTTTGGAAATTAGTTGGTAACCAATTGTGATAATTATTTTGATTAATTGATAATATAAGTTATTATAAAAAGATGTTTCGTAAATTAATTGTTTAGTTAGTGAATTGCATTCAAAGTTGATGATTTTATTGGACTAGTTCATCATACAACTAAGTATCAAGAATAATTTTGAAAACAAACGAATAAGTAACATAGATTTATAATAAAACGGGTTGAAAAAGACCAAATTTTTAAATTACAATTGAATAAATAAATAATATAGACTACTTAGGCTCAAAGCAAATATATGATCATTAAAGAATCATGTAGTTGAAAGTTCAAACCAGGACTATGTGGTCTAATGGTATCCGGGTTGGACTTCCATTTGGAAGATTATGAGTTCGAGCCTTAGTGGAGGCGTTATTGGTTCTTTGTGTTTCAGTAGGTTGAGAAAGTATATGAATAGATACTACAATCTAATAGAACTAGTAGCTTTCAAAAAAAAAAAAGTTGAAAGTTCAAACCTTTCTCAACGTGTAGGGGTGGTGCAATTTTTATTTTTTTTATAAACAAAACAAAACAAACGCTTAACTTGTGTGCACTAGCGAACTTGCTTACATGATGCAAACATCATCATTGGTAGTAGTGATCAAGTATATCAAAAATTAAATTTGAGATTTGACAATAAAGACATAGGTTTGGCATATTTAGTCCTCGAGTCAATCTCAATATATTGATAATGATGGTTGTACTAGGTTTGGTATTGTTTTTGCGGTTAGTAAACTTAGTAGATATGAAAGGCAATAGTGAGAGTAGTCGTTTCTTCGAAATTCTTTAAACAAATTGTAATAGTTAGGCTCATGATATATGAGATGATAGCCTTGGACATGTGTGGCGAAGATACTGAATGGTTATACTATTTTCTTAATGATATTTATAGTTGGGAAAAATATTTACCTCCAATTTGTGTGCATTATAATAGTCAAGTTGCAATTTCAATAGTACAGATTAACATATATAATGATAAATCTAGGCATACACATTGTTGACATAATGCTATTAAACATCTTATCATAACGAGTGTTATCTCTGATATGTTGACTAGTTGACTACATAAGGTCAAAGAATAATACATACCCGATAACCAAAGGGTTCAGCGAAGAGATAGTAGAGAAGTTGACACGAGGAATTGGGCTAAAGCCCAACAGTTTTATAGTGGATATTCAACATAGTTGGCATTGAGGTTCAATGAGACAACTAATTATGGAACGAAGTTTATCATCATGAGGTTTCGAACTTGATGGGAAATATACTCCGGGTGCAGACTTCCCGTACGCTCCGCGCTCCTATTTGAGTCGGGGTCAAACGGTCAGGTCCTGGTCCACGGGTCAAAATCAAACCCGCCTACGCTTGGGCCTATAAAAGGGGTTTTGGCCCTCCATTTTGGGGATTCCTCCTCTTCCACTCTACACACTATCTCTCTAAAAGTGTATTACTCTCTAAACGCTCTCCCCTCTCTCTACAAACACACAATTATGAATAAAAGAGGATCCCTTTGAGCTATTTTCTTTGGCATATTCTCTACATTGTTCATACATACACTATAGTTTATACATAGTGTATACATTCCGAGTAATTATCCACATCAGAACTCCTAACCAATTTTATTGGAAAAAGTGATTCCATCCCACACGAGGCTAGCATGCTTAAATGCTTTAATGATTTGAAGTGTCAAATGACATAAGTGGAGTATGCGAGATACTCGAGAAAAAATCACCTAAGTGATAGATAATTGGGTTTGCTTCAAAAGATAATTAATTGGGCTAAGTTTTTTATAAACTCTTGTAGAATTAGAAACAATGCTCCATGGCCAAAATGGGCATACCCGTAGAACTAGACAAAGATTTGGAGGGTTTTTATCTGAGATATATTATTGTTTACACAAATGACAATATAGTTAAAAGATATTGCGTTCTACCTGACAACTAGTAAAATAAATATATACACCATATTTACAATGAAATGTTCAAACGGTTTGACTTGGTTTAAAAATCAATATAAATGTTTGGTTAATTAGCTTTTTGTACTTAAAAATGCTAAAATTTAAAAAGTTACTCAAAACAACTTTTTCAATTAACTTTTAGAGAAAAAAAATTATATCAAACAGCTAATTTACCAAATATATTTTTACAATCAACTAATGTTATTAACTAGTTATACTCTCAGCTAACAGCCATTTACCAAACAGGCACAGGCCGTCGTGTAATTTCGAACTTTTCATCTGTCTTACTATGCAGTCCAAGTTGTGGTCAACTTATCTGGTTAAAGGCATCTCAATTCTCATCTCACCTCACCTGTATCGCGTGTATGATGTACATGACGACACACTATCACTTCACTGCGTTCCAATACATACATACATAGAATACAAGTCATTGCGCGACACAACACTGCAAAGACAAGACTAGGACAACCAGCAAGAGCTCGAAGAGAGACTGAGCAAGAATGATGAAGGAAGAAGCTATAAGCTCCTCCGCCGATCCTCGGTTGCGACCCAATTCTTCCTCTCCTCCACCTACCCCCGCCCGCCCAACCAGGTGATCCGCACCGGCAAATACCATAAACCCTACCTTTCAAATTTGTTCAATGATTTTGCCCTCATCGGGGCATCATTTACGGATTTGAATATTTCTTGATCAATTTCTTTTAGTTTATTGTTTAGTTGTTCAGTTTCAGAATAATGCTCCATCGTTTTCGGTCATATATGTTATTTCTTTGTTTTAGTTCATTGGTAATTGGTAATAGGGGGTTAACAGGGTATGAGTGAACAGGGGAAAAAAATTGTCAACTGGAAACTGAATTTCGAATTTTGGTTGGCTTATTTCTGTTTAAAGTTCGTATTGTAATTGCTAAGATATTACAGTTATTAACTTTATTCCACTTGTTTTAATTATTTGGATGGCATTAGTGTGATATATAATTTTGTCTTTTCAGTTCTGTTGGGGCATCTTCTTATGCTGTTCCAACAAACATTGGCAGCACAGATGGGGTGGCACAAGAACAGGGTTCAAAAGCAGGTTCTCTTTCTCGTATTGGTTCACATCCCACACAGACTTCTTTAAGCACAAGTGCTGGTGGTTCTGCTCTTGGATCGACACATCCTTCATGTAGACCATGGGAAAGGGGTGATCTGTTGAGGCGGCTGTCAACATTCAAACCCACAGCCTGGTTTGGAAAGCCTAAGGTCAAAATTTGAGCTTGCATTTACTTTTGTTATTAATCAAAGTTATTTCAATCACTTGCTATAGGTTATCTCAATTCTCAATAATGCAACATGTCACATCCACTTCTATCTGTCAGGCTTTGTTGGTTTGGTAGAATGGTAGATAACTGTATTTACTGAAATATGATATTGAATTAATACTGCTCAACTTGGAAGGTATAGCTCAATTTTGTTGCCTAATAAATTATGTGAAATATTTGTAATACTTTTACATGAGTGACAAATGGGCCATCACCTGGCCTCTCTTTCATGAGGAGGTGGTGTGATGGTGGAGGTTGAGTTCTGAAAATTGTGGACTAGGCTGGTAATGGGCAGTGGACCCATAAGTGACATATTTCCCCATGAAAGAGAGAAACCTTCAAACCTAACATGCAGGGAAAATTTGAGCTGCAAGGATAGTATATGCTACTCCGTGTCCCATTTTACATGTTTTATTTATTATTCATTGGTCAAATTAACTCCTCTTTCTTTGTCTATTTTCTATAACATCTTTTAATAGTTTTTACATTCAGCCCTTTGAATTTAATAGTACTTTTTGATGTTGTTTCCAAATATATAAATTTCATATACTAACACTAAACTAAGTGCTACAAAAAATTGAATTGTAAATAATTTGAGTCAAGCCTCATTAACTAAACCTGACACATAAAATGGGATGGAGGGAATAATTGCTAACAAAGATAAACCTTTAATACAACAACAGTCCCACATTTTTACTATGTGCATTATTCATAGAAAATTTCAAATATTGCTAGAAAAATTGTTTTATTTATAATAGAGATATTGTTCCTAGTAAGTTATATTCCTCCACAATGTCTGCAATGGCCCTGATTCTGCCGATCAGAAATAGAAAGAGTCAGTTAGAGTTGGTTATTGCTTTTTTCTTACTCTGATGGATTATTTCCTTGTTTCTTTTCTCCTCATTTTTGGAAATTGCTTAGAAACAACTTTGCAGAAGTATTCTATAAATTATGGTTTTTGTCTGTCTTTTTGTTGTTAGGTTGCCAAGCACTTGTCTTTTCAAGGCCTCTGCTTTGTGATACTAATTCACCTTGCTGCACCTGGCTTTAAAAAGTTTAAATGATATGCTTCTTTCTTATCATTTAGTAGGGGGTGAAATGTGCTAAAATAGAGAGCTTGTCATACTTAATTCAAATTTCCTGCAATTTCACTTTGCTGCTTTTTGTACAATCTTTGGCAGGCTGCAAGTTCGCTTGCATGTGCCAGAAGGGGCTGGATAAATGTGGATGCTGATAAGATTGAGTGTGAGTCATGTGGAGCAAATTTGATGTTTATTTGTTCAGCTGTCTGGACTCTTTCTGAAGGTGATTGCACTGTTAATTGTTACCAGTGCTATTGTTTATTTTGACTGTTTAATTGCTTTTAGAGAACTGGGGTCAGAATTCTATAAAGTTAATGGACATATAACTTCTTGAATAGTATAATATGCAGGAAATAATTAGCAACATGGGAAAAAGTTTATTTTGCTGTAAAGAAAAAATGTTTTGATTACTCATTCTTATTAAAGTTAACTTGATGACCACTCAGCACTGAGATCAGATGTTCGTTGGATATTATCAAAATTGTCTTATTCAGGGCCATTTGAGGCACATGAAAAATTTCCCACTTTTTGAAATGTAGTGTTTCAACTACAATATCTGGTGCCGCCAAGTGCACGCTTTGTGTTCCTCTTGTATTGTCTATACTTTAGATTATAATGATTTGCCTTATGTTATGTAACTTAAAGGTTGCCGGCATGTTTTATTTTGTTTGATTTTTTTAAAAAATACCTTTTGTTCTAATCAACTCATTCTCCTTTGTAGCTGATAGTGCCGGTGAAGAGTTTGTAAAAAAACTTGATGAAGGGCATAAGGTTGCTTGTCCATGGAGAGGAAACAGCTGTGCAGAAAGCTTGGTCCAGTTCCCCCCTACCCCACCATCAGCCCTAATAGGTGGTTATAGGGACCGCTGTGATGGATTGTTTCAGTTTCCGTCCCTTCCTGTAGTGGCTGCATCTGCAGTTGAGCATATGCAAGTTTCTAGAGGTTCAGAAATTGACCGCTTTCTAGCTCAACCACATGTTTTTGGCGGTGTTGAACATGTCTTTAGGCCAGAGGTCATTTCTGGAGTTGAAAACACCAGTGAAAATGTCTTCTTTATATACTCACGTGTAGGTGTCATGTTTCCATCTTCTACTGGTTTCTATTTTCTTTTCTGTTCGTAACTGTTTTTCAACTTTTAATTGCTATTTAGGCTCAAAAGCTGATAAGCCTTTGTGGATGGGAACCAAGGTGGCTTCGAAATGTTCAAGATTGTGAAGAGCATTCAGCTCAGTCAGCGAGGAATGGGTATTCAACTGGTCCCACAAAACATCATGATCCTGTCCGTGGCAAGAAGGTATTGTCTATTTCAAACAAAAAGGATTCTAGTAAAATTGAAGTACTGGGTCCCAAGTCTAAAGGTGAATCTAGGTTGCCTTTGCTGGATTGTAGTTTGTGTGGGGCTACAGTGAGAATTTGGGACTTCTTCATTGTTTCTCGTCCTGCTTGCTTTGCTCCAAATAGCATTGATATTCCAGAAACAAGCAAAAAAATGGCATTGACGAGAGGTGTAAGTGCAGCAAGTGGAATAGGTGGATGGGTTGCTAGTGATGGTATGGAAAAGGACAAGACAGAGGACCATGATGAAGCTGCAACAGATGAGAGAAGGTCATTATCAAATAATGCAGTAGATCTTAATCTTGCAATGGCAGGTGGAGTGTCCTCTTCAAAGTTGCACAGAGATGTTCCTAACCAATTCCCAAATGTGCATAAAAGAAGAGATTTGGTGGTGGGTCAACCTTCTAGCAGTGAAGTTGGTGACCATGCAACTTCATATGAGTCTCGGGGTCCTAGCTCTCGCAAGCGCAATTTGGAGGAGGGTGGAAGCACCATTGACAGGCCACAGTTGGTGGTACATCAAGCAGATAGTGTTGAGGGAACCGTGACAGATCGTGATGGAGATGAGGTTAATGAGGGTAGTCAGTACTCAACTGGTCCTTCAAAACGTGCCCGTCAATCAGATCCTCATGAAACCTATCACTTTTCGCATGCCAAAGATTCATTTGGTGCAGGTCCTAGCCTGTCACTTGGTTTTGAGGTTGGAATGGATGATCAGAGAGATGGTCCTTTAAACCAAGGTCGTGAACAGATTATTTCTGTCCCATCTACAAGGGAATTGACTCATGTTTCATCTGTTATTGCTATGGACACCATTCATAGTGCAGATGATGATTCAATGGAAAGTGTTGAAAATTATCCAGGAGATCTTGATGATGCCCATTTCCCTTCAACATCAGGTGTAAAAAGCTCAGATCCAATTGAGACATCTGACTTGAATTATAGTAATCAAGCACAACAGAGTGCCTGCCTTGCTGCTGCTAGGTGTACTGGTGAAATGGGTGTTAGTAGCACGAATGATGAGGAAGTATTAAATGCAGATACAGCAACTGCTCGTGGGAGGGATGGGCCTAGTTTTGGAATTAGTGGAGGAAGTATAGGCATGGTGGTTAGTCATGAACCTGGAATTCATGGAGTGGATGCTGCTGTACATAGAGTAGATAGTGTTGTTGGTGATGTGGAACAAATTGCTGAAATCACTGAAAACCAGGGTCAAACTGGTGATTTTGGTGCCAATCTTGGAATAACTGGTGACTATGTTCCTGAGGAAATGGACCGTGAAGATCCTCATGGTGATAGCCAAGATCTAACATCTCGCTCTGTGGGAAGGGCTGGGGCTGATAGCGGTTCAAAAATTGTTGGCTCAGCCAAGGAAGAATCAATTGAAAGCGGTGAGAAGAATAGCAACATGCACTTGGCACCTGATAGTAGTGCACATCCCTCTCTTTCTTGCAATGCTGTTCTATGCTCTGCTTATGAAGCATCCAAGGGAGAAGTTACCCAGGCTGCTAATGCGCTGGCTACTGAAGAGGCTGAATATGTGGAATCTGGTTATTTGGTTGCAAATGGGACAGGTAATATTGCCATTTATGATTTCAGTGCACTAGGGACTTCATCATTCCCTTCCAGCTCAAAATTGGGTCTCTATGACACCTTCCTTTCAGTTAGTCTGTGTCGTGTTATGTCGCCTCCTATTGTATATAAGAAGTGTAGGAACTTTATTGATGCCTTGAAAGTATGAAACAATACATAATTAAACCTGGGTTTTGAATTTTGATTGATTGATTTATTTTATTGATTTGATTCCATTCAATATGGAAGATGCAATGTTTTTAATCATTAGTCACGCTGCTAAGGTTTAGAACATTTAGGTGGAAGCATTAACAAGTCACATACTCGCATCTTGATGGGAGATTTAACAAATTGTATTCTAACATGTCTTCCAGTTATAATGGATTGCGAATGGATTATATTTGGCTCTTCCTATTGGAATGATACCAAAGGACAATATTATATTTGTCTTTCACACAGAACATGTATCTTTTTTTGGTCCTTTTTAACAATTCAGTGCGCTTTTCTATTTAAATAGTTTCATTTTGATATATTTGTTAAAAATTGTTCTGTAGGGCCTCCCAATGGAGAAAGCTATGAAGGTGTGGAGTTTGATCCAATTAAGCACCATAACTCTTTCTGCCCTTGGGTCAATGGAAATGTTGCTGCAGCTGGCTGCTGTAATAGCAGTGATTCCAGTTCCACTGCTGGTGGTCTTGCTCTCTGTGGCTGGCAGCTAACTTTAGATGCTTTAAACTCTTTCCAATCACTCGCCAATATTCCAATCCAGACAGTGGCATCTGAATCAGCTGCTTCTCTGTATAAGGTATTCGAATCTCCATCCTAGTCTTAATAATCCAATTGTCTTGTAATTATTCACAGCCTTGTTAGATGGTGATCATGGAGCCTTGTACATTCCTGAGCTGTGTAAAATGTGCTACCTGCAGAAGTTTTAAGAAAATGCATTTTATTATTTCCGGCTGGCATCATTGTTGCTTGTTATTTTTCTTGTTCTCCCCGTTAGCATTTTCTTGACGCTTTGATTCCTTTGCACATTTGATTTGACTTTCTTGTGCAGGATGATCATCTAGCTGCTGGTCAGAAACGCTGTGCTAGCAGAAGTCATGGGCCTAACTAATTGTGAATCCCAAGTGACTTCAAAACCTGGTATTTGTGTTTGCTACTATGATTTCTTTGACCCATCAGCTTGTGTATTTTGAAATTATATTAACATATATATTCTATTACTTTTCTGAATATGAAGGTAACTATATTAATTTAAGGGAGGGATATACTTTTGGTTTTCAATAGATGTAAGGCTGGTATACCCACAAATCCAGGTGATTCCAATCATTCCATAGTCTTATCGGGTAAATAGAAGCCTCAGTGGATAGGTATAGATTGCAAAAAGTTTATGAAATTTCTTTGAAGCTTCTCCAATCTATTGATTCTGAGATAGATATCTCAAAGAGAGATGTCCAAGTTGGTCAGTCTATTAACTTAGTAACTACAAGGTTACAAGTTTGACTCCCAGTGGGAGCGGCCTTGGCCTTCTTGGTTTGAGCCGGTCAGTTATGGGCAACCTAGGTTGGTTTACCTCCTTGTGTGGTCCTTTGCCAGTTAGAGTCACAAGGCAGGGTTTACTCAGTGCACACCCTTGACTCCTCGAGTAGTGGTTTCGGGTTTCCCTCATCATACAAAAAAAAAAAAAAAAAAAGAAAAAAAGAGAGATGTAAGTGGGAATTCCACCTAGGCAAGGTTTGATGGGAGTTAATCTAAAAGATATTGCCTCTCAAAGTTTGACAGTTTTTCTCATTGTCTTTCAAGCACCGGTTTCCAACTTGAAATCGGCCCCTAAGGGCATACCCAGGTAGGTAAGTAGGTTGTAGGCAGGGAGCCTATCTGGGCATTCACAGGCATCCCCGAGTAATAACCTAACCAAAACGAAGATCACCAACTGGAATGGGCTCACTGTTCAAGGTTAAACCTTTACCTCAAGCCTGAGGTCATAGGTTGTAGAGGGGTTTATAAAACTAATAACTGGCCATTATAAATCTTTTTCCTCTGAAACTCCACACAACTAGGCAATTAGAATACTATGAAACCCTGGCTCAAGTAGCTACTTGAACCCCGATGAACATTATTTATGAATGTGATACTCTTGCACTTCAAAGGCAATGAACATAATATGATACTCATGTTCCGGTTAAGCCTATCGGTCAAAAGCCCCAATGCCTACATGCTTATGTGCTTCATCTTGGTTACCGTTAATCAACCTTTGACATATTGCATGCATGCCTTGATCTGCAAATAGGTCTTTAAACGAGAGTTGCCTGGTCAGCTGGATTCAAATTTGCAGTGGATCTGGAAACACGTTGAGTCATTCCATTGAGAGCTAGAGAAGGGAATCGTTTGCTTTCTTCGTCGTGGTTGTAGCTTCTTCAATGTTTGCTATCATACTGTTAGCTGAATGTTTTTGAAGAAAAGTGTAGACTGTAGTCTGCAAATGGATTTTGTTTCCCACTATTTTTTTTTCATGTTTGCCAGATAATAATACCATGTAGCCTGCTATTGATTTTCATAGATTCTTATATTGAGATTCTGAAATTGTACGGATTTTTAAAAAATAAACCAGGACGAAAAGTTATTCTGTAAACTTGCTTTTACATATTACTGAGTTAATATTATTTTTGGTTTATCGAATATATCACATTTAGTTCATGATTTCAATTTTGACACATTTAAGTCTAGCCATTAAATTTTCAATTTCGATTTTCACTAAATTAATTTTAAAAAATCACCAAAATATATCAAATTAAGTCTAGCCATCTTATCTTCAAAACAAGTCTAGCCATTTTATAGCACTAAGATGGTTATGCCATGTTTGGATCTTTCAATCCAATCCATCAATGATGATTTCGTTAAATCTAGATTTTTCAATTGAAATCTTCTCAAAATAAGAGCATCCACATCTCTAATGTGGGGAGAATGTAAGAGTGATTAGGAAAGAGAAAATGGGAGGGGAGAGAGAAAAAAAAAGAAAAACTGAAATTTAAAATAAAAACAATAATATTTTAGTGGTTGTCAGGCGCGCCTAGCGGGCGCGTGCAGCTGGGCTGCTATTTTGGCCCTCACGGTGTGCGTGAGGGAGTGGAATTATTAAATGAATGGGACTCACTTTCTGCCATTCTCCCCACTCTTGCAGGAAGGTCTCAACTTTCTCTTTCCTACACTCTCTCACTTCCATGTCATCAAAGGTTGTACTATTCTCCCCACAATATGCATTGATGGTGATGCTCTAAGGTGTTGATCCAATTTCTCGGCACATTTTTTTTTTCATTTTGGTTGAACAAATTATTTACCTCAGTATAATTTAACTCGTTATTCATGTTATGAATTTTAATTAATTTAGTTAAGTGAATTAATTCTAAAAATTAATTTGAAATTAAATATTTATGGTGTGTTTGATTTGCAGGTTTAGCACTCAGGTATGTGCATGAAAGTGATTGTTATTGTTTAGTTGACTGTTTTTAAAATACTACTATAGGTTGGAAAACCCCATGGAAAAACTCATTCTCTTATTTTATAAAGGTTTCATCCCATTATTCATCCTTAGCCTAATTATTTTCATTCCACCTTATTATCAAACATACAAAATATTTTTATCAAAACTCATTACCATTAACAAGTATTTGATACCAATTCGGATTCGGATTTCACACACCCTTAATTAATCGAAATAAGAAAGAGTAATTGACCCGCCTCTTTTCCTCGCGGGTTATAAAATATGGCGGAAGCCCTAAACCCTCCTTCCAGTTTGCCTCTGTCAAAACTATTACTTAGCTCTGCGCATTGGAGTCAATGGATGCTCAACCGGAACCCGTCAGCTACATCTGTGGAGGTACTCCCTTCTTATATCTATATAAATAAGTCTCTTTGTTTTCTAGGTTTTGGTTTTGATGATTGATCGTTGACGGGAGACTATGTGTGTGTAGATTGTGGTCAAGAGAACACACTGAAGCAGGGAGATGTGATTCAGTGCCGTGAATGCGGTTACCGTATTCTCTACAAGAAGCGAACCCGCAGAAGTAAGACCAAAATTTGCTTAGTTTTCAGTTTATCAAATTTCTCAATCTTTGTTTCATCTTAAAACTCCGTTTTCCAGTCTTGGTCTTGATTTTTTTCCTGGTAGAGTGTATAATGAGCCATGTTCTCGATAGCTTAGATTATTTGGTAGTTTCACATTCTTCTCTGGGGCTTACAGCATACTGTAAATATTTTTTTTGACTACTCTTTCCCAATAAGAGCTTATGGTATATCACTTTAGTCTCGGTCATTTGGCCCTAATTGAGAAAGTGTTTGGTCTTCATTGAGAAGATTCCAGCTTCATCTTTGTTGGAAAACTATGCAGAGATATCTTTCCTTGGGTTTGAGGTATGTAGGGATGGTTGGCACCCAATTTGGCATCTTCTCTTTAAACTTTATGGCCCTGTTTGATAAAATAGCTGTTAGCTGATAGCTGATTGTGTTAATTAGAGGGTATAAATAGTATAGCTGATTGTGTTAATTAGATGGTATAAATAGTTGATAACATAAGCTGATTGTAGAAAAGTGTTTGGTAAATTAGTTGTTAGTTGTTTGGTATAATTTTTTTTCTCAAAAAGCTAATTGAAAAAGTTGCTTGGAGTAGCTTTTTGAATTTTAGTCTTTTTGGAGTTGCAAAAAGCTAATTAACTAAACATTTATATTGATATTTTTACTAAATCAAACAATTAATAGTGGTCAAATAAGTCAAAATTGGCCTATAGGCCAATTTTTTTACCAAACAGGGTATATCATTATATGGAGGCTATGCATATTGCACAGTTCTTCTCTATGTGTTACTCCTATAATGCTATTCTTTAATTTTTGTGTGACAATATCCTATTCATTAATTACGGCTTGTCCATTGGATATAATTCCCTTTACTGTTTCATTCTTTTTGGAAATAGCTGGGATGAGGATTCTCTTTCATGTTGGATTTTCAGAAAAGTGATCCTCTTTTTGAATTGTAAAGATTTTAAAGTTTTGTTGAATGGAATTTTCTGTGATTTGTGTATCCAAGTGATATAAAAGTTTTCCTCAGTTCTGTTGCTTATCAGAGACTGGTTTGTTATGGTGCAGTTGTGCAATATGAAGCACGCTGATACTCATGGTTTGGAGATCCACATCCACTGGAGAAGTTGATATGGAAGGCGTCAAGTGTCTCACTTAGTGAAAGAGATGTCAATACTTTTTAAGCCTCTATTACATACAGTACTTACATTTTAAGTTGTACACTTGTACCATTATCTGTAGAACTGCTTCTTCCTCTCGAGTCCGGTGTTAATGTCTGTGTTCTGTCTGCAAATGTGGGCCGTGCCATTGTGAAACTTGAATAGTTGAATGTTAGTCATCTTTGGTGTGTCTTATGTCAATTTTCTATCACTTTTCTGCTTGCATTTGCTCAATTTGAATTATATGATGCTTGATTGCTCGGACAAGGGGGTTGGCTTGGGCTCAAAGATATTTCTCTTGTCCAGTGATTTGGTTGCAAAAATTGTCACTAAGATGTCTACTACTGCATAAGATTGGCTGGCCTTGTTATCAAATGATATTCTTGTGGACTTTATCTAATGTACAATTTTCCCAAGAATGAGACTATGATCTAAGCCAGCCATGGATTCCCAAGCCTCAAAACCTTGAGAAAACTCGACTAACGTGGGTTCAGCTTCATCTGCTGAACTGCACAATCCTAGTCTCCCATTTTTACCACAGCCCCACGCCCAAACTTCATTCCTAGCCGTGAGAACAAGGGAATGTGCTCGTCCTGCTGAAACCAATTTTGGTATCTCACCATCCAGCCCCTCGACCTGCTGAGGAATGTTGCCTGGACCTCGCCTGCCAAGTTGACAACTTTGGTTCCATCCCCATGAAAAAACTTTTGGTCCTGATGAAGGAACTTCGCAAACAGCCAAAGAGTGTCCTAAACCTGAAGCTATGTTTAGGGCACGTATACCTATTTCAACAGGGTGGATTCCCAAATCTTGATTTGTCCTTCCTAACTGCCCATATGCATTGCTTCCACCACTAAAGAGAGTGCCATCACCTGAAACTCAAAAATCCAAACTTGTCAGAGCAAGAACTTATATGCCAACCGGTAAATGAAAACCATGACTTACTGCAAACAACCAATGAGTGGTCAAGCCCACAAGCCACGTCTTCAACTTTCGACCCTTGTAGCTCCTCAACTAAACCGGGATTCCATATAGTAGGCATATCTTTTTCCTTCTCCATGGCTTCCAAGACTGACTGTTCAGCAGCTTCCACTGATTTAAATTCAGATGAATTAGATTCCAGTGGGGAGATCTCCAACTCTTTCCCAATCTTCCCTATTCTACCATCTGCATAGTATCCCCAGCCAAACAATTTCCCACTTCTAGTCATTGCTAGAGCATGCCCCCAACCAAGTGATACCTGCAAATACCAAATCAACTCAAAACAACAGTACAATATAACACAGACAGATTACTTCAATTTCCAGATTTAAGCAATGATCGGAGGACCACCTTAACTATATATTCTCCAAGTAGCGTTTCAACCCTGGTGGGCACAACAGTTTCGGTTATTCCTTCCCCTAGACCTAGTTGCCCCCGTTTGGAACATCCCCAGACCCACAGAGATCCATCTTCTCCAAGGGCAGCAGACACAACACCCGAGGCAAATGCAGCTCGAACTCTCACTTTTTCTAGCCCTTCTACCCTCTTTGGCTCATTCCATGTCTCTCTGCAGCCAATTCAACCGAAGAAAATAGAAGGATCCCAGTGTTAGTACTGCAGTCTACTCAAAGGAACAGTCTTTTAAGCAAATATCATGCACAATGCTGCCAAAGCTAAATAACAAATAGAAAAAGAGGAAGCATTACTTTTGTATGCAGTTGCAAAAAACAAGCCATCTGTTTTCTGTTCCACCATTAATGAATAATTTCTTTTACAATTTCGAACCAGTAGAATTTGGATTTCTCTGATGTTTAAGTTCAAGGCTGTAAGTTTAGCAAAACCTGTTCAATATTGCAAAGTGGGAGTTCTCAGATATCTTATTCACCTCAAACTCGGTACTTTGGTTTATTTTTCTCGAATCACAAAACAAGCTATTGAATATTCAGTGCAATTAACAGTATTTCACAAAAAATAAATAATAAAACCTAAAAAGTTATCATTCTTCAATAACCAGCAAAATGCACATTCATGGATTAGATAGATAGAGAAAGAGAGGTACCTAGGAGAAATACGATCACGACCGAGCTGACCTTCGGTGTTACGGCCCCAGGCATAAACATGGCCCTCACGAGTGACGGCGAGGGAGTGGAAGTGGCCGGCAGCGATGCCGGTGACATCACGTGGGAGGCCTGGAACGGGAGTAGGCTCGTAGGCATCGGAGCCTAAACCCGGTATGGACATCGGCAGGCCCAAAGCCCCGTGGCTTCCATCGCCGAAGCTCATCACGGTTGTTCCCCTGTCGGTGCATATCCACCGCCTGGTCAGTCCGATCAAGATGCCGGACGGCGGGATTCTCCGTCTCTTTAGTGAATGCAGCATCATTTGTACCTGATCGCTGAGGTCCGATGAAATGGATCCTGAGTCCTGACAAAGTGAGAGTGCGGCGTAACAATTGGGTCGGGTCGGCTCTATGTTGGCAGGTTCTTTTCAGGTTCGGATCTTCACATGCTCATGTTAAAATTTATTATTATTAATTATTAATTTCTTGGTTATATCATATATGGGCATTCTTTAATTAATATAGATTTTAAAATTGTTTAATTAAATTTATAATTTTTTAAGAGTATTAAATATCTCATTTAATGCCAAGACTTTGTGGTTTAATAACACTCAGGTTGTACTCATATATGAGAGGTTGTGATTTCGAGCTTTAATGGAGGCGTTATTGGCTTTTTGTGTTTTGTGCGTCAGTAAACATTTTGTGCCTTAAGAATAAGAATATTTTGTAAACTACGGTGTAATAATTTAAATATTTTTTAATATGCTGAAATTTTCATTAAAAGAAAAACTAAAATATAATCATTTTGACCTGATTTCTATTTCATCAATCAAAAGTGACAACAAAAATAATCATCTTAGGTTATAAAACAAAAAGTTTTATTAGTCTACATTGTTGTCATCTGTGTTTTGGCAACACCTAGATGTTTAAAGAATATTTGTGTTTATTTCAATTCTTCATTTTCTATTGCATTCTCCAATTCCTGTTTCTTAAATGTACACAAAACATTTCATTCTCTATTCTCTATTTTCTTAAAAATAAAAGATGAAAACCCACAACCACGACCTATTGGTATGCATTGAATAAACTCACTTATGTGTAATAACTCGCAAATCACATAATAAATTTTGTGCGACAAATTCGACTGAAAAAGTGCTGACAAGAATCAAACTCATGACTTTCTAATACAATAATCATGCTCTACCACTCGACCACCCCTTTAAATGTGCAAGTGTAATGTATTCTCTTCTTTCATTTTTTTTTTTTTTTTTTTTTGAAGTATAGAATTTTTTGGGTTGGTAGTCTTAAATCTACTTGAGTCTAAGACCAGAAGTTGAAGCAAATCTATCCCAACCCAGGTGCCAAATTAGTTTCTGTGATATCAATGTCTCTTATCCCAGTAACCATGCCACGTGTAGTGTTTTCATTTGACACCAAGATCCTAATTTTATCTGCAATGTGGATATTCTTATGTACACCACAATTTCATTGTTTTCATTTTGCCCCACACAACACACTTGGTGGCCTTATTTGCCACCACCTGTTGTAACTTGTAAGGTTGGGTTGTTTCTCTCCACAGTATCCAGCAGCAAAAATCACACAGCCAAAGATGGCAGCACAGGCTTTGATCTCTTCTTCTTCCATCACCTCTTCTGCAGAGGTTGCCAGGCAGGTTCTTGGAGGAAGGCCTCTCCAATCTTCCAGGAAAGTTTCCTTTGTTGTAAGGGCTTCTTCTTCTACTCCCCCTGTCAAGGTATGTATGTATATATATTTGCTTTCTTTAAATGTTAGTTCAGTAACATTGTCTCCAAGTTTGATTTACTTGCTCTGGACATCAATTCTGTACTTCAGCAAGGAGCAGATAGGCCTCTCTGGTTTGCATCCAAACAGAGCCTTAGCTACTTGGATGGCAGGTAAACTCCCATGCTAAAACCCTTCAATGCTCTAATGAAAAACCGAGAATTGAAAGCTAAGCAAGAAGTGATTTAACTTGAATGTTCTTGCGGTCTATATGAATCTGATATTTCAAGAAATTCATACTCACAGCCTTCCTGGTGACTATGGCTTTGATCCACTGGGGCTCTCAGACCCGGAAGGGACAGGAGGTTTCATTGAGCCGAAATGGCTAGCATATGGAGAGATCATCAACGGGCGTTTCGCCATGTTGGGAGCAGCAGGGGCTATTGCACCAGAGGTTCTTGGAAAGGCCGGCCTCATTCCGGCTGAAACCGCCCTCCCATGGTTCCAGACCGGAGTAATTCCTCCGGCAGGGACATACAACTACTGGGCTGATTCCTACACTCTATTTGTTCTGGAGATGGCTCTCATGGGATTCGCGGAGCACAGGAGATTCCAGGACTGGGCAAAACCAGGTTCAATGGGGAAGCAGTACTTCCTAGGACTAGAGAAAGGCTTAGGAGGCTCAGGCGATCCGGCATACCCCGGTGGACCTATCTTCAACCCCCTTGGATTTGGAAAGGATGAGAAATCAATGAAGGATTTGAAGCTGAAGGAAGTGAAGAATGGAAGATTGGCAATGTTGGCCATCCTGGGATACTTCATCCAAGCTCTGGTGACTGGTGTTGGCCCATACCAAAACCTTCTTGACCATTTGGCTGATCCTGTCAACAACAACATCTTGACCAACCTTAAATTCCACTAAACTTGTAGCAAACCACCATTTCTTCTTCACAGATCTGTCGACATTATTTTGCATGTCATCTGTATTCCACAAGGACATGTACCAATTGAAACCCTGCAACTATTCAGAGTTGTAGTCAGAAAATTTCACTGTATTATCATCTGTCAGTCAGTTGGGCAAATATGACTAGAAGAAGTCCAAGGAAAATTTTCCATGGAACTAAACCACATAAATTAACAGTGCGGATGAAAATTATATTCAACTTTACATGTAAAAACTGTTGCATTTAAAACTACTTTGAAATAAATCAAGGATATCAACCTACATTATTTGTTTTATATTGTTAACGACAAAATACAAGGAAATTTCACTTCAAAGCCCCACACATTGACCCTCTTTATCAAAGGTTTGTGCACTTTGGAGAAATAAGTTTTCCATAGAAGGAAGTCAGGAACCAGTTATGTAAAGAATTTAAAAGTTTAAAAGCATAACTAGCGAGCAAGGTTCTTAATGTCGAGGGAAAAGCGCAATATGAAATAAAATTTGCTATAGGCTTCAACGCATGAAAATTGTTGTCCAAATCAAGCTGCCTGAGCTGAAGGTTTAGTGCCACTACATTCTTCAACCCTGAAAGTTAAGGTAAGACAAGAGTGAAAAGGAAGATCAGATATGGCAGATGTAAAACATTGAGAAGAGCTAATTGTATATGACTTGCAGCTATCAAGCATCTGCTCCATTCACAGCTCATACACCAATACAGAGAATTTTACTAGATGAATAAATGAAAAATAAATAATTGTAGTGCAAATGAAGGTCTATATCTGCATATCAAATGATATAATGGTTGTAAGATCATGTGAAAAGAAGAATATGGGATGTTCTTTGAATCTTCCAGTTGGTATGCCTAGGTCTAAATATGATCTTTTGCACAAGAGTCTCCATATCATAGTTTTCTATCTATTTTGTAATTAGATCATCATCGAATTTATTAACTATAAAGTGAGAAGGGAATAGAAAGGCGGCTTTGGAATGAAGTTTGGAATTGAAAAATGTTAACCCCCCATCCCCCAAATTTACCTTATAATGCTCACCTCCTGAATATCACAGCTTTTAGTGACCTCTTAGGTTAAAACATAAAAGTGAGGAATAGGAAAAAAAAAAAAAAAAAAAAAAAAAAAATCACATTTCAGCTATCACGAAATGTGCAATTGCCCATAAACTTGTAAATGCTAAATACCTTGACTACTTAAACTGGCCATTTATCAGAATAGGTCATTAAATTCAATACATGATCTTAGAAAATTAGATGAAACAAAAATAAACCATATACTAACTACTAACCAAAGTATTGAATAGTGGGGCATAAATGATTATTAGTTTATAATAGCAACAACTAGAAACCTTGGAAAAGAGTCAGTCCTTAGGAATGGGAAACATTTACCCCTGAAGGCCTTCTCCGACTTCCACTCTTAGAAAGCTTCCTATCTTTACAGGTGAACCCAATTCCTTGGATAGATCACTCAATAATGTCTGCAAGATTTTGTTGGGAAGTCAACAAGTAGTTAGAGTTAACTTGGTGTACACATCTCAAAAGTAATGTGCTTAAACAATGTGAATAAACAGAATCTAGATACAGTGATATCATAATGAAACTATCTATTATTTGTAGCAACTAGAAATTCCAATTAATAATTCCCTTGCAGATAGAGAATCAATGCAGTACAATGTTTGAGGTAAGGGAAAGAAAAAAAACCCAAGGCCTTCTGGGAGTGGGGAAAGATGGTGATGATACAAATAACTTAGGTAGGAAAAAATGGACTTTACCTTTACATTTAGTTTGTCATTCACAACAAATTTCTGCTCCAAAAATACTACATCCTCATAGTATTTCCGCAGGCGACCTTCAACCATTTTCTCTATAGCCATTGCAGATTTGGCTGTACTTTCCGCCTAAAAATGAACAAAATACAAATTCTCTTCATTTGACTTTACTAAACTTTATAAGAAGAAAATATACTTGTATTATAGACAAGCTAAGTTGCAGTTTTTGAGATTATATGATGTCAAGAACAAAAGAAGTTTTCAAAGATTAAGAGGCCTAACATCATCTCAATGGTCCAGGTTTTCTAGTATATAGTAATTCTTTGAGGTTTTAGTAGAGGGGGAGAGAGAGAGAGAGGCCACTTCCTCCAAAGTTGAAAACGTACAAATAAGAACTCAATATTTAAAGTCCAGATTTCTTTCGTAAGTTCCAGTGGATTACTTAACTGCTAAAGTTAAATCCAACAAGAATGAAATATCACATATTTACTTCAATTGCTACCTGCGATTTGAGAATCTCGCGTTCATTGTCTAGTGCGTCAGAAGAAACATCTTCCTTGGTTAAGAACAATGGCTTTGCTGCCACTACATGCATTGCTAGTTCTGATCCAATGCGCTGAACAGCGTCCAGGGGAGTATTTGCATCCTCTACTTCAAGAGATAAAATCCCAGCAATACGTCCAATGCCTGCAACATTCTTGTCAACAGCCAAGCTATCATTAACTCAACATAAGACTACCAAGTTATGCTTAATGACATCCTCTTCATGTAAAACAAGGATTTTAACCATGTACCTTGTTGGGGGCTGGTATGTAAATATGTAGACATGACACCCTGTGAGGGATTGGCTATTGCAAAGCCCCTTCTAAGTTTAACATTTTCCCCCATCATTGCAGCCAGTTCAGTTATTGCATTTTGAACAGTTTTCTCTCCATTTAATTTGGGGTGATCAAGACTAAGCTTCACATCCTG